AAAGCGTTGTTGCCACACAGCACCTCTGACTGCAGCAGATGTTCCGTAGCAGGGGTCAGAATCCAGCAGCAGCAGCAGCAGCAGCAGCAGACATTGCATATTAAATATGCAGCCATAACGTTTTTAGAGGGGGTTTTAGAGGGTTATGAAGGCAGCTGAGCTACAATGAGCTTGGAAGAGGAAGCGCCAACACCACCGCTGAGGCTCCCTTCAACAAGACACTTAATCCCCAACTGCTCACCAGCCAAGAGATCAGTGTGTGGTTGAACTGGGCGGCTTCCAGTGGTGAATGTGTGTAACTGGGTGAGTGGGACCCAGGTCGGTCCTGAAAACGAGCTTTGGTGCTCAGTGAAACATGAAACCATGAAATTAAAGAATTACACCAGTGTTCATCATTTGCAATAAACAACACTGACACTAGTATTCATCAATAAAGTTGGAGTCTTATTTGACAGTAAGGAAATCTCAGAATATAAAATAATTATTAAAAAGTATAATATGCAATGCACACAATGAACAAATTTAAAATGTATTCTACAATAAGAAAAATGATGAGCCTATGTACTAATAATGAGCCTGTGAAAACTGTTGAATCAGGCCTTTGATGGCTCTGGAAGCTGATGTCATCAACATCAGATGCTATTGAGTTGAATTATGGGAATAGTAATATCTGGGCTTTTTGAATTGACCTAAACAGGGATTAAAAGTCTGGGTATCCCAGCTTCTGCTGCTTCAATTTAGATCTTTCTTTTTTATAAAATCCATCCCCTGTGAGTCCTCAGGGGAGCAATGTTATATCTCTGAAGTCCCTTTGATCACATATGTAAATCTTTGCTGCAGTAATGAAGCTACACAAGATATTTTGGATGGATAAACAGTGAGACTCTTGAATTTTCCCTCTGAGCGAGTAAAATAGAAGCATAGCATCTTTGTTGATGCTCATTGTCCTCATTCTCTGACCTAATTCTGCAGTGGAGCCCGGATCACAACAAGATGACAGGTCGTCTTTATCTCTGGATGAGACTAAAGGCAGCAGGGCAGGAGAAGGTGTAGACAACTGTACTGGAGAGGAATGAGTGGAGGGGGGCTTTCAAGAGGAGATTAACATTGAGCGTGACATCGGTAATAATTATGATAATGTTATTTTCATTTTCAACCTCTTCACCAGGACCACCCCCCGGGGGGGATGAGAGCTGGAACCTAAAGATTTTAACTTATGTTTATCCTCAGAGAAGATAAAAAGAATTGGCTGTAATAAGAGGTTTGCGTTTAGAGATTTATGGAATTTGTCAGAGTGAAACATAAATATTTCCTCAAGTATCTCTACGTCTGTGCAGCTTCCTAGTGGGAACCACCGCTGTTTTAAATGGGCTCAATCACTGTAATACTCCATCCATTAGCTATACTGCTTACTGTTGTGCGGGTTGCTGGGGGGCTGGAGCCGATCCAAGCTGACACTGGGCGAAGGCGGGGTACACAGGTCGCCAGTCTATCACAGGCCTGTCATCAGCTTGCCTAACCTGCATGTCTTTGGATTGTGGGAGGAAGCTGGAGGGTCCAGAGGAAACCCACACAGGTGTGAGGAGAATATACAAAATCCACACAGAGCTGGGGTTCAAACTTTCTTGCTGTGAGTGCTAACCACTGCACTTCAGTCACTGTAGTACTGCTGGATGACAATGGCGCAGTCATGCTACAGTCTAGATGTTTTACTTTTTTTATCATAGATATAATTTAACGCCTTTATGCTTATTTGCCTACACACATGTAGAAACACTGGCAGACACAGGATTAGAAGTTTTCTAGGACTGAAACCTCAGCTTCAACTTGTGTCCAGACTTGGAAACACATGAAACACATTTGATAACATGTGACAAACCCTAATGGGATCTGTGTATTCTGCATGAATAATAACGCAAAATATTAATCAACAAATGAGTCTTTCTCTCAGTGAGGAGAGTCTCTGGAGGTTGAACCTCACTTAGTGATTACTTCATGTCTATCAGGTCATTATCATAATCATCATGCCAAACAAAGGCAGCCCTTGTTGTTACGGGTGTCCTGGCTCTTTCTGTTGGACAGTGATGGCTCACTGCATCTATTGGATTATGTGAGGGATTTGAAACTAGGATTAGGCCATTGGGCTGTGGACAGCATGGGGGCTGAATGAGCCTTTACATCACAGGGGCGTGTTAGGGTGCATGTGTGTGAATGGGAGGCTGGCGTGTGAAAGTGTGTTTGTGCATCCCAGAGGCTTGTCTCCATTTGGCTCCATTGTCTTTGGCACGGACCTTCAAACATGAACCTGTTCTGCTTCACACTGGTAAGAGACGCCATCTTCTCAACTGTTGTAGGTTTTTCTGTCAGGAGCACTTGTTTAGTCCCAGCAGCCTCAGAGGGAGAGGAGACTCTGGTGTGCCACTGTGGGAGACTCCGGTGATGTTATTGTTGTTGACAAGGATCTGAAATGGGCTCTCTGGGGAACGAGACAAAACTGCAAACAACTTTCCTTCCTCTAAGACTCATGAGATTCCTTAGATGCTTAGATCCTTCCTTTGTTGTGCTTAGTTTACTGGATTGTGTTGGTCATGTATAACTGTAAGTGTAGTATCTTCTTTTATCAGCATAGATGGTATAATAATGTTTTTAACATGACACATTTTCCAACAATCTAACTTACTGTTCCTATAATGTTACCACAGCCACATTTGGTGCATAGACACTGTTTCTTGTGTGAATAAGGATGAATGTGCATCTTCTTGCTCTATTCATGACAAAAGTCAATAATGTGATAATTATTATAACGAGAGATCAATGATGAGTGAAGGTGATGACTACAAACTGTAATATAGTGGCTGCAATTTATTACAATGATGATGTTGATTTTTAGTTATTTATATCTGCAGTTGTAACATGGCTGGCATAGGTTGAACTGGATGATGAGTAAAAATTTATAGTTGAAGATATTAATACCATGCTGGCTCTTGCACTCAGTGCCAGAATTGAGGTTTTGTTCTCACTTAAAATCCAAAATTTAGCAACACAGTACAAAACAAAGCAAGCAAAGCTTTATTTATACGGCCCAGGTGGAGGTACAATGTGCTGCACAAAGCGTGAACCACAAAAACCGTGTGGATAGTGTAAAGATAGAACATTACACACAAATAAACACAAATTAAAACAAATACATTATGCAAAATAAAATAATGAAGACCAACAACTGAGCAGTAAAAATTAATAAAACATGTAAATTAAAATCAAAAAGTAGGAATAAAATTAGATTAGATAAAAGAATAGTTTGACTAATAATATAATGAAAGACAAGATGTCATCAGCCTCATGTGCTCAAAACCACAGTAACAGACAAGATTTCCTGCTCACCTGAACGAACCAGATTTATGTCAGCGGTTACACAACTGATGACATTAATTACAGTTGCAAAATTATATAAATATGTGTAATATAATATACGGTCATAGTAAGGATCTAAAAGTTGACAAAATTTAAAAACTGCAAAAACATGAAAACTGTTGAGATCAGTGGCTGCTCTGCACACAGACAAACAGTGGCTGCTGTAATGTAGCTGATTCCACAGACCCTGACGTGAGGGTCCAACTCACAAGAGGATGAGCAGCACGAGGTAAAGCATGTGGACCTGTGGAGGCTACAGCCAGGATCTTAGAAATATAGAGGCTGTGAGTCCAAACTCCCCCAGCGGGAGATGTTGTCTTATGTACAATGTCAATATTGCTGGAGAAGTCCATTTCTTTTTATTTTGTGTTTTCTCAGTCAATCAAATTTACCATATCAGAATTAAAATTAAAAACCAACATGTATAATATGTTAATAATAATAATAATTTTAACTTATTTATAAAGAACTTATACTTACCAGTGATTAAATGCAAGACATATCCCACAAAAGGGAGTTTTTAGAAGGGGAGACTGATTTGTCAGGTCTGAGTTTCTCATCTGGGTCATTCCATAGTTGTGGTGCTCTAACAGAAGAAGCTCTGTCCTCATTAGCAAAGATGTTGCACCTTGACATGAGAACAGGCAACAGGTTTCTCTTCAAACTGCATGCAGGTGGTAAGAGGCGAGTGATTCAGAGTCTGGGGCTATTTACTCTTCTTATGTTTTGTTCATCTGGCTAGGAGCATTAGTGGGAGCATCAGTGAGAATAGAATTGGCCCCAGGGTGGACCCTTGGGGCCCTCCAAAGAGTAGCAGGGTGGGATGTGAAACATCGTCATCAATAGAAACAATAGAAGCAATTTTGGTTTTACAAGTAAGATGTAATGCATGAATAAAAACTCCTTTTCATGCCATGTTGAATTCCTATGACTCTGGCTGTGAAATGTTGGAACTTCCTAACTGAAATTTGTCTCTCCACATGAACAAGATGGATATGTAAAATTTTTTTTACAACCATGCTTACTGGAGATTCTATTTTTTCCCTTCAAATGATTGACCATTATAAGTTTCTAAGGACTTTTTACATGTTGCATATAGTACATCTCACACAGACCATAATCCAGCTTTATCTTTTCAAACATTTTGACTAAATCAGTATGTTTATAGCAGACTGCTGACCAGCTGAAAACTGAGAAAATCAAGCACAAAGAAGTAAAGTAAAGAGTGATTGATATTAATTATAAATGTGACATGCTGAGTGACATGCTGTACAAAAATTATACCAGTTTAAATGCCAAAAGCTCAGATAGGAGACATGTTCACCTGCCCCTGATGTAAGCTTTTACATTGATTTTCAGTCAATTCCTCCTTGATGAATCTCAATGACAGGATATATTTAGTCTGTAAATTTGAACAGCGTGAATCAGAATACTGTGGTATTTAAAGGCTGCTGTCACTATGCAAACTGTTTTCAGGAGGGCTCCACAGAAAGTATATATGAACCAGCCTACAGCCAAACATTCAAGGACGTCCTGCCCAAGTACCAGTGCAGCCCTGGTCTTCTGAGGTGTAAGCCTGAGTGGGGCGGCTCAGATCCATCCATCATCAGCTCCGTAAGTTTGCTGTCTCTCAGATCCACACCTGATCAAACGTTGGTGTTGGGTATACTGGGCCAAACATTCAAACCAGTCAAAAATGCTGCGATTGGCGACTGGTCCCTGCACAACCAAGGTGTCACATTGTTGTTGATCAGAAATGCTGTTACCTCTCCTCTTTTGTTAGGACAGGAAATGAACCTGTTCCCATGTGTGTCACATGCAGAGCTGTGCAACAGTATAATTAAGAATACAACAGTACTAAGAGTCTACAGTCCGGCTAGCAGCTCTGCAACATTACTCTGCAAGAATTATGTTGCCTGTTGTCCAGCGTATCCTATCTGCTTTTTATTTCTCTTCTTTTTTATTCTCTCCTTTCTAATTTTGCTGACAGCTATGTCTGACTTTGTTTCCCTAAGGTCCAACCTCAGAATGTAATGAAATTGAAAACGAACAGTAAAGGGTGAGTGAGTTTTCTTGGCTCATTTTGCTCAGTAATATCCTTTTTTTTTCAAGTGAGCACACACTGCATTTCTTAATGACAATTTCAATTGATTTTCTGTAGTTGTGTTTTTCTTTGCTTTTCTTTCACTCATTAGAGCAACTTAGATCCCATTAGGAAATTGAAGTTTTTGTCGTTTCCATTTGTTATTTTAGGTCGTGTGTAGCATCATCATCCTTGGACGATGAAACATTAGGTTGGTACAAAATTATCACAGATCTTAATATTTCTTCTTTTTTGTTTTTACACAGTTATGACTTAATACAAACAAAACTCACTCTGCTCATCTAGATCTTGTATTATTGCATTTTAAACCTGTCTATAAACATATACAGTGTGACAGCTCATCACCTGCTTCTTCCCCTTCACCTTATCTGTTGCAGAAAAAGACATTAATCATTTGTGCTGGATGTCATCTGGTGACAAGAAGGACTCCTCCCATCATCCCAAGAAAGTCCAGAGCAGAGGTAAAGAAATGAGCAAAACCAGAGCACTTATACTAGGAAACTACGGTCCAGTGAGGTTAGGGCTTGAACTAAAAAACAGTTTCTGTGAACTTAGAGTGAGGGTATGGTGGTAAAGGCAGGTATAAAATAATGAAGGAGGACGTTGGTTTTATTTACCTGATATGTAGGATACATGGAAAATAACAAACTGCATTATTTATTTGTATGTTTATCTGACATTATCTGACATGTGTGGATTGATCCTGCAGAGACGTGTAAGGCTCCCTGCCAGAGCAGCACGCTGACAAGAGATGACAGAGTGAAGGAGCTGAACTCTGACAGAACACAGACACATCCACCAGCTCAGGTAAAACCACATTACTATCACCTGACAGCACGTTTCAGCCTCCAGAAGAGCCACATTATGATGACTATATATAATAACAGTATCCATGTTAAAAGTAAACCTAACCCTGTTTTCTAAATACCTCACACAGAACAATATGGTGAATAGTATTTTTCACACTTCAAATCAAGATCAAGATCCTGTCACTCACACGTGGACACAATCACTTTAGCGTAACAAATGATAATTATTTGCAAAGCTGTGCAGATGTCAGAGGTTAGTCTTTTGTAATCCTGTACCCACATGACCGTGTGTGTCAGACAGACACGTAGATACCTGGCATACCTGGATGTTGGTGCACATGTTAGTGCATGTGAGGGAAATGACGGTGGCTGTTTATCTTTGCTTGTTTTCCACAGTAACTTAATGCAACAGGAAAAAAACACTGAATAGATTATTTGACAGTAAAGTATCAGCAAGGTGCTTGTAAAAATACCATATTAATCACTTTTACTGTAGTTTATTATTTTATCAGCCGGCGCTTAAATCTGGTTGATGCTTCAAGTGAACTATTTCTGTGGTTTGCAGGGAAGTTACAGGGGGTAAAAAGTGAATGTGAAGTAAACGTGAGGTAGGTCAGCCAAATCAGATCCAATGTTCACTTTAATCTGTTTTATAATCTTTAATCTCCTTTATAAGGCCCTTTTATATCTGCCCTGGGTTCTTTGGGACATCTGGATTTTGTACAGTTTGATGCTTTTCATGCCAGAAGCTGATAGTTGAGATGGGAACATCACAATGAGCAGCAAGGACAGAGGGGAACAAGTGATAGTGCAGCGCCTGAATGAAAAATTACTTTTTTAAAGCAGAGTCATGTGGGGTCATTTAATGTAGACAATGTATTCAGATCCTTTACCACACTGAGATAATACTTTACAAATACAGGTCATGCATTCAAAATCTTACTGAAGCAAAAGTACAGAAGTATTATCAGCTAAATGAACTATGAAAAATGTAGTATCAAAAGTAAAAAGGTCATTCTGCAGACAAATGGCTGATGTGAGTGATTTACTACTATATGTGACATCATTAGATATGATCCATCAATGTACAAGTAGAATTTTACTGGTTGAGGCTGAGCTATTTTTAACTACTCTATATGGAGTCAGAGTATATAGAATCAGTTTAGTCTCATTGTTCCTAACTGAGGGATCAGGCACCCTCCTGTTGGTCACAAGATAAATCTGAGGCTCTGCCACACAAATTTGAATTTTGAATAAATTTACCTCTCAAAGCCTCAAACAGTAAATGAAAGCATGTGAAAGGTTTGGTGGTGAAATCAGTGTTTGGTGAACCTCTAAACAAAAATCTATGCACTGCCAAAATGAAAAGATTATCGTATAAGTAAAATCTTAATCTGAAACATAACTAGTGACTATGTCTGTCAAATAAACATATTCATAAATGTATTGCTGTAAAATGTGCAATATTAGCCTTTGAAATGTAGTGGAGTAAGAAGCGGTGGCAGGAAGTAACTGAGCACATTTACTCAAGTCTGTCCGGTTTATGTTTCTTCAATCTTCCATTACATTCAGAGGGAAATATTGTAGGAATGATATATTGCAAACATATGATAAGCTCATAAAAAATACAGCACATTGTTAAAGGCTATATTGTAAAATAGTAAAACACAGCTCCCCCTTTACAAGCTATAACATCAGGATGCTGCTTACACACTGACGGAGGCAACAGTGTGATGATGTCATTTATCAGAACATATTAGAGTCATTTTACTGCAGAACGAGTACTTTTACTTTTGACACACAAAGTACACAAAGCTTACAGTATACTTCTGTAGTAGGATTTTGAATGCTGAACTACTTCTTTACTGCAATAGTTTCCAGAAGGGAAATTAAATTAAAGAACTTGTTATCCCAGTCTGAATTCAAGGCTATTGTTGTAAGCTCTATACTGTTGTCTCTGTTTTTAGCTCATTCTGATTTCATAATGTTGACAGTTGATTTGTAATTGTCTTTGTTCTTAGCTTAATTGAGCTTTCATACATTGTCAACTGGTTTTTAGTCCTGTTTTAATTTACCTGGTTAAACAAAGTAAAGTACTCAAGAAAACTCTTCCGTTTTACAAAAACTAATACAATTCAAAATACTAAACAGACTATATTACACTCCATCACAGACGTACAACATGGGAATATAGGATAGTAAATGCATAAAGTGTGGTGCTGCTGAAGGGACTCTGGTCCATCTGCTGTGGGACTGCATGAAAATGAAGTGATGACCAACACTAATACAGCCACTCCGCTCGCACCTCAAACACTGTATTCTTGGAGATTCACATAACTTCAGCAGCGTTCCTTCAAAGAATGAAAATATATTTCTCTCGTTATGTACGGTCACAAAGAAGGTAATTATGAACAACTGGATTTCCTCAAACACACCAGCACAGAGAGAATGGATCACTGAAGCAATAGAAATGAATGGAATGAATTTGAAAAGGAAGCATTTAGACTAGGATAATGTGCCAGAATATAATTTAACGTATGCTCCAGTGGAAAAGTGACTACTGTTACTATAAAGAAGGAGGGAAGGAGGGAAAAAAAATCAGAGACAACCATTTTTATTTTGTTTTATCTCAATATTTGTATTGCTGTTGTTGTTATGATTTTGTTCTCTTTTCTGATGTAAGCTAATGATGGTTGCTTAATTCTCTTTCAGTGCTGTATTAACCCTGAATGCTATTTGTGCTGTAACACAAGCACAGTCAAGGATAAGTTCAAGGATAAAGCCAAAAAAAAAACAAAAAAAAACGAATACCCTGAAATTGCACTTGAGAAAATGTACCTACTTTCCACCTATTTTTCAAACTGAGTAAAAGAACTTGTGGAAGTTCATACATTATTAATAAATCTGATATTATATATAGATACGTTTGGAGGCAGGGGATTGGCACATTTTAAATAAAATATGAAGAGGCAGCAACAACAACACACCCTAAAGGTTTCTGGCCAATGGAAGAGCGTTCACAAACAAAAGTCACAGCGGTGTGAAAAGTTTTTGTGGTGCAGTGATTTGAAGGGGTTGATGCTGGATGTGTGCAGACTGCTTTGACTGCACCTATTGTTTCTTCATTACAGGGCAATGAAGCTGCGGCTGACGCAGCACAATCAGTGCACAGCAAGAGAAGACTGAAGAAGTTACAGAGTCTGGTGCAAACAAAGAAGGGACATCAGAGTGGCGCTGGGAAAGGGAAGAACACTCCTGAGAATAATGGTGAGCTGTTGTGGGTGATGTTCTTCAACCTGTCAGAGAAGCTGCATTATTGAACGATTATGGAAAATAATTTCTGCTCATCTTCAGATCATTTGGCAGATGTGTTGAGTAACAGCAATCCAGTGCTGACCTGCATCGGCCTGGGGAAGAGAACAGAGAAGTCGCCTAAGACGGCTTCATCACCACAGCGGCAGCAGAACAAAGACCATGAAGATCCTCTGTGGAGCCCCTTTCAGGGTCCCCAGCCCTGGACTCCCTTCTACCACACCTGCCACCAACCTCAACACGAGCTGTGGGTCTGCGGGGGCACCCTGTCGCTGCCTCGGACCACAGAATGGGATCGTTTCGAGAGTTTGATTCAGGAACTGGACAAGAAACAATCGAATCTGTCTCCCCCACAGATGATCCGCTCCATCACAGATCTGCACCTCTCACAGAACACAGTAAGATACATCATTATTACCATTAGTTAAGGAGACCAAACTTGCAGATGTTGCATCTTAAACGATAGGGTCACAATTTATATTGGGGTGCCCATATTAACACTGAAAGCAATTTTGCTTTGCTTGCTTGAAAAATTGTGAATCTTGTAAGTGGCTTTTACTTTGTCTTTATTGAGAAGGATGAACATGTTGGATGATTGCTCCACCGGCCTTTCACTGCTTCCTAAAACCTTATTTCCTTTTTCAAATATAGGAGTGGAGTCCTCTTTATTTATTTATTTTTTCGTGTTAAAATGTGATACATAGGATCTTTAAGTTTGTTTGTATTTGTATTTGTTTATTTTTGTGCCAAAGTAGAAACCAACATTAAGACCGCAGTCTCTGAGGTCTTACCCTTTCTGTTGATGCACTTTTATCTGAAACCTGCTCCCAGACCTGCACAGTGTCATTAAACTGTGCTTTGAAGGGCCTGGCTTTCTCATTGCAGCTCAGAGCTCTCTAGGGAACATTTAGACCAACTGAACAGTAACTGAAATGTCGAGCCAGTACTTTTTAAAACTTTCTTTATTGTTTTTATGGTTTTCTGAACCAAAGGTTTTAAAGCTTTGTGTCATTTTCAGCTTCAGGTAGCTACTTCACAAACTGCTATTTAATAATATCATAACCATAATCATATGGAAACAAAACAAATCGGAGGACATTATGAAAGACTGTGTTGGAAGTGTATAGACCGTTATGCCAAAACCCTTACTGTTTACATATAAAGTTTGGTTCATAGGGAGCAGCAGCTTTAGAGTTAAACGTCAGGGAGCTCCACATGAATGAAGACGTGATCCAGTTAAAGGGGCAATCCACTTATTTCAGTCAATTCACTGGTCATTTAGAGCACAACAGTGTCTTCTGTGGTTCTGGAGGAGCTTTGTCTAGTCAAATCACATCACAGCCTGGGATTGGAGGCTACAAGTTTATATGTCTGTATCTAACTTGCATCATGGGAAGTGTAGGATCATGAGGGGATTTACAGTGGCCCTAAGAGCTCAATGCGCTGCAGCTTAAGAAAACACATGCAGATAGACAAACAAAAACAAAATTCTTCATCAATCTGACAAAACATGCTGCAAATACATACAACACAACCGAATACAGAAACGCTGCTTTGTTCTCGACAAGTCTGTTTTAATCTGTCTCGTCCCAGTGTTATGGAAATACAACTGTAAATAGCTGGAGTGCTCCTTTAAGCAGCCTACATTATGTGAAAAATTCCATACATGAGATCTAGTAAATAACAGTTTCCAGAATTAGTGCAAAGAATAGCTGATTTCAGACAGTTGTATGTCTTTGCCTGTACTATACATCCCTGGGGATTGTAACTGTACTCACCTGTTCATCACCTCCCTGCTGACAAATCTCAACCAGTGATCCTTTAGCCCAGACTGACTCTTCTCTCACCTTTGCCACATGAAGTGGTGAATTTATCAATAAAGTCGAGTTCAGATTTCAGATTTCTATAAACGACCACGTCTTTGACCAGCCATTCTGCTACATTTCAAAAACATCTGCCTCAGAATTAGCATTAGCATGGCTGTCAGTATAAATAGGGAACTATGCACTACAAATAGTAAATATATCCATGGTTGTAATCTGTAGTACAAAGGATAATGGTATTAATAGTTGCTTATCCAACCACAGTGTGTGACAGTGATGGCTCAGTTCAGTAACGGTCGATGTTGGGAAATGATCCAAGAGTCAGTGTAACAGATGCTCTGGGAGCAGCGCTGAATGACTGCTAAACTAAAGCTAATGGCCGACCAGTGAGGAATGAGTCACTGATTTTCATCCTGTCTCTCTTTTAATGGCAAAATATAAAACTACACATCAGCAGATTGTAAATACATCAGCAAAAATAAGAGTGAACCTCTCCCCGCATGACACTGAAATTATATATTTTTTTTAAATTTAATACAGTAATACAACATCAATGCATCATGATCATTCAAATACAATTTACAAAATATTTTGACTGCACCATATCTAGCTGTATTGCTGCCAGGGGTTAACCTAATTTCAGAACACAAATCATAAACAGGGATAAACACAAACTGTTTGTGTTGTGGGCTCATACAAATGCACACACACACACACACACACACACACACACATACACACACACACACACACACACACACACACAGATAATATGCCCATCTGTCACTAGAAAACACTCAGTTTAATCTCTCTTTTACCCAAACAGTTGACCAGATTTGATGCCTTCAGACAGCACTCGCCTTTAATGAACCCACAGGATGACAGAAGCTGTTTGGTAAGAGAACCGACCTCCTCAATCTGCCGGCTTGTCCATCTAGGAATTCAGCTTCCTCAAATATCCTCCGCACCAAATCCGACATTTAGACAGAACATTTACACTGTGTTTATTTGGCAGCTGCGGGGGAGTCCTCCGTTAACAGTGTGTTTTGTTTTTAAAGCAAAAGCAGGAGCAGAGTGGGGATCCAAGCAAATCAAGGCTGCAGGGGAAGCAAATGGAGGCCTCATCACAGAGTGACAGGAAGCACATCAAGGCCTCACCGGAGAGGGCTCTGACAGCCATCATCGTATGTCATGCACCCTACAAAGCTTATGTTAATACAACCAGTTTGAAGTTCACGGCACCCTGCATTTGCTGTGGTTCACACCTAATGAAATAACATCTGTTAGAAACCAGACGCAGCTGTCAGCCCCACACCTGCTCTGCCAGGCTGTGAACTATCAATCAAACTATCATTTACCATTTTACGGAAAGGGCTTTTCACTGTTGAAAAGAGCTCTGAGAGTACAGCAGGGACTGACAGGCACAGCCCACCATGTCTGGTTGACCTGGTTTAAAAATCACTACAGCTCTAAATCATAAATTAAACTGACAATATGACAATGGGGTGAAAAGTTTGATCACCGTATCTATCATATTTTTGATATGTTCAAAATTCATTCTATATATTACATATAATTAATAATATATGTGTCACACTTAATTAGCCTTTTATAATAATGGTACAGAACATATGCTTAACTAATGAATAACTAATGCATGATTCATGACGAATTAATGCAGGATGTATTATGAATTCCTTTTGCTCATTAATAACAAATAAAAACATGCAACTGCATGTCACCTGTATTTTTCTAAAAACAGCCTAAACGGGGCATCTGGTGGTCTAATGGTGCAACTCACACATCTGCAACGTTCATGGTTGGATACCCAGCTGGGGGACCTTTGTTGCATGCCACACCCCTCTCTCTTGTTACTCTCTCTCTCTCTCTCTCTCTCTCTCTCTCTCTAGAGTGTCAACTGTCACACAGAGGCAAAATGCCAAAAAAACAAAACAAAACAACAACAAAATAGTCAAACTGCCTAAACACTCAAGAGGAACCAGCTACAGTTACAGCCTGATACAGTATGTGGATATGTGGATCAGGAAGTGTCTTGTCATGGCAACAGTTTTAACATCTAACAGCTGATGAATCAGAATTTTGAAACACTTTGTAATAATGGTACAAAACATACACTCAACAAATGCATAACTAACATGTAATTTATGATGATTTCATGCATGAATTAATGTACAGTATACATACATACACAATTTCAGAAACCAATCAAATCATATCACATTTTATATCTGCATACCAATACAGTTTTGTGCATGCCATTCAAAATCATAGACTTCTGCATACATACACACTGCGACACTCCACTTAGGTGGACCGATACTAAATGTAGTCCATGGTCTGCAAATCCGTGTACAGGAACAGAAAGTTCAAAGCTGAACACAGTTAGTTGTGGATTATGCTCACCACACACCTACAAAGTCTCAGCTATAAAAAGCAAGGGAACTCTTGCAGGATTAAGTGTTTTGCCAGAGGAACAGCGTGTCACAGCATAAACTGGGATACTGAGCTGTTCCGTCACATGAGGAATCAAACACAGCAGCTCAGGGCTCTGACTCAGCTTTCTGGTTGGTTAGGTTTCTCTTTTGTTTGCCTGTAGTGGAAGATAATCACTGACAGGGAACAGAAAACATATGAGAGAATAAAATGTGACTTGATGTTTTTACTGTGCAGACGGGGGACACACAGAGAAACGTAGCACCAAAGAGGGAGACTGGTGGAGGGCGGCCATTTACTAAAGGGCTCAGGCGGTCCAATAACTCTCTGGAAAGTCTCTACAGTGGACAAAGCTCCTCAAGTAAGCATAGAACCAAGTGTACTCCCCACACCACAACCTGATGAATTATGCAACCCTTGTTTGTACACCCCTCCTCCTACACCCCTGTTACTCCAGTTTGGATGCACTAATTTGCACTAACCATTGACAGACTCCTCCATCCTGTCTTATCTATCTTATCTCTGTCTATCTTTTTACTGACATATGGACAATCAGAAAGCAGTAGAATTCTAATATTGAGCCCTTTTCTTTGTGTGCTGTTCCCCAGGTGGAGTCACCAGTGGGTCAGACTGCTCCAGTAACAGAGGCAGTCTGAGGCTGGAGGACGATCTGTTGTACAGCAGACAGTTCTGTGGCAGAGCTAGAGTCCATACAGCCTATGTGCCAAGTCCATATGACACAGAATCACTTAAACTCAAGGTAAAACATGTCTGGAAAGTGAATGGAAATTTAAAAAATGAACTGTATTACTGTTACTGACTGTATCATACTGAGACTGGACTGTTATAAGTTAGGATGACAGTCTTTGGCCAACATCTTGAGGATTTTTTTTTTGCTTTCCCAGTGGTGGCACTGCTCTAACGATGGCAGTGTTGGATCATTTGGTTTACTTGATCCAACACTTTGATGCAGGATGAAATATCTGAACTATTGGATGAATTGCCATAAAATTTTACACAGAAATTCATGCTCCCCAAGTGATTAAATCCTACTGATCCTTCACCTTCTCCTCTAGTGTGATCATTGACATTTGTGGTTTCAGCTGAAATTGGATTGCCATCACATTTTGTAAACACATTCATGGTTCTCCAGATGATTTATCTGAGTAACAGTTTAAAATGGATTATAAAAACTTTGGTGATGCCTTAACGTTTCACATAGCATTATCCTCAAGTCAAAATTTCAATTTGTCCAATATTGAATAGACTATGACATTCCCATCAGCCTCAGCTTCACTTTTTGTTTGGTGGCAATTAGCAGATGTTAGCATGCTAACATGCTAAACTAAGATGGTGACCATTTATACCTGTAAAACATCTGCATTTTAACATTGTCCTCGTGAACCTGTTAGCATACAGACATTAGCATTTAGCTCAAATCATTGTGAATCAGCTGTGAATCATTCTGTATTTACTGTATTTTGAACTTAAGAAAGTAGCAAGTAGTTAGTTCTGGTACACAGTAACTTTGTATGATGTGTTTGTGCATGGTCCCTATTAATACATTAAATAAAATTAAACTAAACTTTCAATAAGGTTGGAGACATGATTGACATCATCGCTACGCCCCCCATGGGAATATGGACAGGCATGCTGAATGGCAGACTTGGAAATTTCAAATTCATTTATGTGGATGTGCTGAGAGAGGAGGGTCTTGAGACATACAGAGAAACACACACCCACAAAGTGAGGCACAAATCAGCTGTCCAGGAAGTGTTAAAGCGCCTTAGTTTGGAGGTATTTTCTTTTTATTTGTGTTTTGCACTGATCTGATGTAGCAACAATCATCTTCCATATAGAAGGCTTTTTCTTCAGCGTCTAAATGATGTTTTTTTCCACTTGCTTTATCAGGAGTACTCCTCGTCTCTACAGCTGAATGGTTACCAAACAGTAGATGACTTGATGAGGCTGAGGGAGCATCACCTGATGGAGCTGAATGTGACTGATCCAGAGCACAGGCATCGCCTGCTCGCTGCTGTCGACTCCCTGCAGCAACTGCGCTGTGAGTAATGGGAAACACAGAAAAGGTCGTCCAAGGACAGTGTCATCATGCACATTTTGTAACATGATAAAACTGGAGAAAGATACGCTGAGACGTTTGCATTCAGAAAGGAAAAGGGACAAGTGACATTACAGCTCAAGTAGATAAGACTGGGAGGGTATCCGGGCCACTTAAGAGGTGAGCTAAATAGGTTAAGGATAACAGGATAACCCCAAAGAGTGTTTCTGAGAATAGTACAGGACACACAAGGACAGCAGCTGCAGACAGATAGGCTGTTTAGCCTCAATGCACAGGAACAATAGCTGTAAAGGATTACTTACTGCTCATATATTTAACTCTGTGACAGTGCATCCAACCAGCCTGTCCTCTCTGATTTACAGCTGATAGTCAGCTGGAGAATGAAGCCAGTCAGGAGTCTGAGACCTCCAGTAAGAACAAGAAGGCAGATATGAACAACAGCTCGCGAGACTCCGGCTGCCCTGACAACAGCACAGAGGACACACACCTTCACTTTCTCTCTGAACAGCCTCTACCAGCTGAGATGACCGCTTCATGAGAACAATCCATTCTTTATAATGCCTGTTTTATTCCTCATTGTGCTGCTGAGACTTGTAAGCTGTTTTTTCAACATCGTAATTTCTACTGACGTTCAATAAAATGCCCATTGCTAATTCTCCAACTCCACTGGATGTGTCTCAGTGAAATGTAAGATATATGTTCATTTGTTTCCTGAAATCGAACAGTGAATTTTTTAATATGATAATAACATATTTAATGTGTCTTACAACAGTCGTCAGACAGAATCCCCCCATGAAATGTATGAATGTTCACCATCTGTATACAGGATCCAGTCCATTATCCAGTAAAAATGATACGTTTTAAAATTGTGCAAATATCTAGAGCTAAAAATAATCATTATTTTCATTATAAGTTAATGTGCCAATTCTTTTCTTAATTCACTGATTTATTGTTTGGTCTATAACATGTCAGAAATTAGTAAAAATGCTGATCGCATTTTCCCAGAGCCCAAGATGATGTTATCAGTGATAATGATGCTTTATCCGATCAACTCATGAATTAATCGATAATAAATAATTGCAGCTCTAGATTCATTTTACTACTCAAATGTAATGAGTAATGATGATTATCTAATAAGCTGTAATATTAGCCATATTGATACTGTTGTTGCAGTCAGGTCTGCAGTGTTTTAAATGCTGGGTAAGATAATATATTTACTGCAAATTCTCTGGGCAGTTAACATGAATGTAATCACATTAATGAAGTGCTGTGCATCCTAACTTCCTGTTGTAGCCACACGGATAGTTATATGAGAATTTCACGGCTGTACAGGAAGAAGCTAAATGTGATAAAAGTCATTCTCAGTTCAGTTACATCTGAAGCTGCAAACATTATACTCGCTGATTTTTTTAAATTAGCAAGTAAAGAATATATATATATGCTGCTTGGAAATGTCTTAACAATGTTTACCATGAACAAAACCCTAATTTAGCATGTTAGCGTGCTACGTTGCACAAAACAAGAAAAGTTGGCTCCTGCGAGGGTGCATCATTAGTTTTTAGTTTTGCAACTGTTTGGTCATAAACCAAAGAATTGTAGACATTATCATTTTGACCTGATGATGCCGTTACAGTCAGAGATCACAGCAGGATTCTGTAGATCAGAAAAAAGCCATAGAGGAGAACGAGGAAAGATCACTTTTATTGAACGGTTGACATGTCCGCGGCTAAAAGTGTAGATGCAGTGTGAAATTTCTACCCCTACGATTAAACTGAAGACGAACAATATTCTACCAGTCCATTCATTTAACAAAAAGGCAGCCATGTGAAAGGTGTAATAACTAATATGACGATAAAGTAAATCACTCATGGCATGACAGAAAAGGCAGAAAAAGAAGTAAAACATTGACACCCCCAACCGCACCCCCCACCAAAAAAAAGAAAAAGAAAAGATAAACCGCCCTATGAAACTGCAGGAAAACATCTGCCTTAATCTGTCTGTCACACCTCAAAGAGAACGTCAGTCATAATGGTGATAAATGCAAACAGAAAATATGCTGATCATATGTCCAAACCTCTCAGAGAGAAAAAATAAAAACATGTGAAACGACTCATATTTACATCAGTGTATAATACAGAACACTACACAGCTCATTTCCTCTGTTATAAAACAACAGTGAAGTAAATGACATGGAAAATATACAACGGTACAGCTTTATCAGCTCAAATAAAATTTTTGAGAAGGTCACTGAAGCAAACAGAACAAACAGAAATTCTTCTTCATGGTCAGATGGATTTTTGGCCCAATAACCACACAGATGACTAAAATGTAGCTCCTAATGTTGAATGAGTGGCTATTCTACTGACAAACACAATGTGTTTCATTCACTTTCTGTTCCAAGAAAACTAAGTTTCTACATTAAAATATGAGTTGAAGCTTTTTTTTTAATTATTACAAAGTCAAGTTTCACCTGATCAGCGACTCTGATTCCGTCTGACTCAACATGATCTTGAGTAATTTGCCCATTCGTCAGCTTCACAGTGATGATTTTGATGTTTCAGGCTAAATTTTGTGTTGAAATTGACAAAGTGACTTTTTACAACAACCTTAAAAGTAAATGGTGAACTATCTTAGAGTATTGTGGCTTAGACTAGCAGTCTAATACAGAATTATGGAAGAAATCGACACAATAGCACTATAGCAGAAATACTCATTGTCTGTACTTTAGACAAGGTATGTTATGCTGTCATCACTTCCTGGGTAATTTGCCAAACAGATCAGTTTGCGTATTTCTTTTTCTTCACACAAGAAAATACATTTCAAACATTGTTGAACTAACATCCAGGATTTCCCATCTGAGGCGTTTTGTTCATCGGCTGAGGCCTCCGTGAGAGTATGTCGCATAACCGTTTTCAGGATACAGAGAGAGCTCCTCTGTGCTGCTGAGCCCGTTGTTAAGCTCTGAAAAATATGACAGAAAAAGTTTTAATGATGCTGTAACTCTCTACTGAGCAGAATTCACATATTTTGACATCAGTGATTCAGCTGGATTACACTAACAGCAGGTTTTTATATACTATATAAAGCATTGCATCTGCCTTTCACAGACTGCAGGACAAAGCACATCTCTTTAACTTGGACTGCTCATGTAACTTAGGTGGATATTTACCAGGTCTACTGCAAATTACAGGTTAATTTGGAGTTTGTACCAAGACAACAAATGTAGATAAGCCCAGTACAGATCCCATGATTGCCTGTTTTGACATGTGTTGCAAGTATGTGTTACTGAGTTTGAGATATTGTTGTAGAACAGCAAACGTGTTCTCTCACAGGAGGTCTACATCTGAGGAGACATTAGTTAAGTAGCCTGATGTCACAGATCAATGACTGAATGATGAAAATTCAATGTGGGAGATTTGGGGTAAAACTTTAAAATGCCTAAATTAATAAACTATTATTATAATTGAATAAATTATTGTCATACATAGAGAGAGAATAGTACAAAAGGCCTTCTTAATAAGTATTACTGGCTGGAGCTGTTGTGAGGAAGAGTACACATTCAAGCAGAGGAAGAGGTGAAATATCACGTATTGTTCTGTTGCTATGCTGCGTGGAGAGCTACTCCAAACTAACATTATAAAGCATCTATAAATTTTCAACCTTTCACTGTTGTACTTTAGTGCTTCCATTACGGCTCTGACCAGGAAAAGAAAAGCCTAAGAGCTCATACTGCATAGGCCAGGCCTCCTTCAGTAAATAAGGATAACAGAGGTTCACCACCTTAAGATGCAACTCTGAAGTGTGAATTGTTTTTATTTAAGCACCACCGTGTGGTGGGATCAAAAACTGCACTCAGGCCTTCTCCCACTTTTCTGAGTTGCATGCAAATCCTTATTATGCAGTTGTGACATGGTATTACAAACTTAATAATGTACTGTAATAATAGCTGGATGTATGTGTGGCCACCACAGGGGCTGGGTTGGCTGTATTTACACATGGATGTTTGCACAGTATTTCCAGATGTGACTGTTGTCAGAGCCGCACCTGAGAATATGAGCTTCTCCTTCATGATATTGACATCCCGACTGGATCGTCGTGTCACAGCGCTCAGCATGATCTGCTCTGGGTTATAGTTCTGCATCCCGCTCATCCTCCACCTGTTACAGCATTGCAAGCGCATGATTCCACGTGAGGCAGTGATTCCATCTGTGTCATTACACCATTTAATACAGTAGTAGTGATACACATAATATTATATACATCTAATGGTTGCACAGTGAAAAACAAGAAGTAAACAAGTGCGGTGACGGAGAGGAGGGAATCAGCCTTTGGGTGTTGGGCAGAAAAAGCACAAGGAGGACAGACAAGGAGGCAGAAACAAAGGCCAAGGCAGTGGCAGCAGTTACCTGATCATATGATAGCTGACAGATGCCAGGGGGCAGCAGAGGAAGGTTGCATGCAGATCAGGCAGAGCAGAGTAAGAATGTCAGAGGAGAAAGAGAGGACAGGGAGACAGGAAGAGGTTACAGCACACAGAAGAAAACACGGAAACATCCAGAAGACAAAGGACAAGAAGGAAAAAGACAAAAAAAACAAAAAAAAGGAAAAGAAAGAGAAGAGCAGAATGAACAGTCAGTGTAGAAGCAGCAGACAGTAAAAGGCCAAAGCTCAGCTCAGGTCCAATCAGACTCAGAGGCTGGTGTTTGCAACTTCAGCTTTTTTTTTTTTTACATTTGAAATTTTGTTACTACTGACTGTGTGTATACGTGCTGTTCAAGCACAGCGTCAGCCAACATTTAGATTATAACAGATGATATTTGATCAAACATGTGATTTTTTTTTTTTTTTTAACTGAGCTAAAGAACACAGCATTTATTGTATTTCTGCAGGACAAACACCAAATGTGTTCACTAAAGAAGAAATTATATCAATAACAATGTTCAGCCATAACAAAAAAAGACATCACGCTGCATGGTGACACAAAGACCTTATAATTAATTTATACCAAAGAAATAGTTGAAATGAAAAGAACGACCTTTTAAATGCTGTGAGCACCACAAATTTGTGTGATTTGTGTGACCTGACACTTTAAGGAGCCTGTGCGCCTGGTCACAGGTTGTGTGTCTCTACTGGTTATTGTGTAATTCATAAGAAGAAAAGCAAAACATTTAGATGCTCGTTTACAATAACCAGATGAGAAATATGGTGACTGTAATATGAAAACATTTCTGTATTGTTTTCTCTGGGGCATTAATTGTTCTGTAGTTGTATGTCGGTGGCTTCACAGTCCAAACTGTACTTACTTCTGAAAACAGAAAATCCCTATGACTATAGCGAGGGAGACCAGATCTGAAGAGATCCAGATGAAGCTGTAAGCGCTCTGGCTCTGCAAGACAAGGAAAAACAGAAAAGTTGTTTCCGGTCAGCACCACTGGAGGTCACCATCAACATGCTTGTATATCCTGAAGCTAACACAAGGCACTGACTAAGGCAAAAGCCTGCTAGACAGCTGCTTTTGAGTTCAGATCTGTGCCCTTGTCTCAACCTGTCTCAGACTCTTTCCCAGGGTCCTGTTGTTGTCTAACGCCACGCTGAGCTCCCTCATATTTCTCTGCATCCTCGCCCTCGGGTCTTGCTGGGCCCTCGTCAGTCTCTGTCCTCTCTCCTGCTGTCCTCTTGTCTTGCTGTGTGACCTTGTATGTCTGTGTGTGTGTCTGTGTTCGTGTGTGTGTGTGTGTGTGTGCGTGATATAGAGAGAGGAGAACTGTTTACCATGAGCCAGATGGGGTAAGGCACCTTTCGGAGGACTTGAGGGGCATCAGAGGACACAGAAGGCACCCCGCTACACCACAGAATGGAGTAGAGCCAGGGCTCATTCACTGGGTAGACGGTCACACTAACATTATTGGCCAGATACTCCCTGGGGGAAGGAAAAATACATGTCAGCACTGAAAATAAAGGTCCTCTCCCTTCCACTCCTTGGATCATCTTACTCTCTAGTCACAACACTCTGCTCTTACATGATCATTTGCAGGAAATACTGCCACTTTAAATCCTGTCTGTGCATCAGAAAGACGTGCACTGTCAAACCACGTGAATAATAGGCTGTGTATGCATTTTAATATATGAATTAAAGGCCCTGGATATTACTGATGCTGATTTTTTTCAATCAGCTTCTTACTGTGAGTGATCTGGTCCTAAATGACCACACAATTAGAGAAGTTTTGGTTTTTACACAGGAGTGATTTTTGGATCTTTTTGTTGTTTGTCTGAGCTCTTATCACCAGTTTAAAGAGGTGATATTGTATATTTCCATGCACCAATCAGAGTTTTACACCGTTTGAATCAAAGTTCAATGATACTTGTGGGCTCATTCGCTGATGTTTCCAGCAGAGTCAGTGCAATGTCATCAGACCACACTCACACTCACACTCACAAGTCAGAGTCACTGACAATTAAACTTAAGAAATATTATCTTTAGATATTTTTTTTAGGTGTTTAAACTGATTTTACTCCTGTAACGTTGTCGGACTCACGATGGACAGTTTTGCAAAAGGATCTGAACTGATGCAGCAGAACCAGAGGGATCCTTTGTTTTATTCCACACATCCTTTTCAAAACTTGGCAAATATATTACCCACAATGCAACTCATAAGGCCAACAGCTCAGATGGAAATTTGCGTGTGTTCTAATAGTAGCAGCTAATGTAGCCTGGCGCCTCTAGCCATAAGCAGAGACGAGGAGCTACAGAGGTCTGGTTCACTTAGAGAAAAGATCACTTACCTTCCTAACTCCACATCTGGTTTTTATTTGATATTTTTTTACATTTGTACACTTGCAGTCCTTAGATCCAACCAACACTGACTCAAGTGACATCACTTGAGGACATTTATCACACAGCTCACTCTGGAGCAAAAAGAAGTGTTTATACAACTTTTAATATCAACTCTCTTAAACTTTGGAAGAGATTTGAATTGACATTGTTCCCATAGTTGTTTACTGCCTTAATTGGTTTGTAGCCAAAAAAACACATTAATTGGAGCATTGAAGACATTTGATATCAGGTTGTAGTATAGTTATACTTGAATTAGCTAAAAAGTAAATATATAATTTTCACGAGAGAGACGCCAAAATTACATCAGAGTGATCATTTGTTTTCATCATTTGATTTTTTTTCAGAGGTTGAAACAAAGCTCCCAGTCGGCTCTTTCATCATTTTTCGCTCCATCCTCGTTGCCTAGCAACAGATGCTTGCTCTTACTGTATGTCTCTGTGGTTGGCCTTGCCGTAGTGGAGGGTCAGGCTTGTAATTCCCCTCTGCCTTATCTCCTCCACCGACAGCTTCTCATTTGTGGTCTGCTGAAGCCCTCGCACCTTCCCCCTGTCGGTGTCGGGGGTCCACGTCACCTGGCAAAAACACATATGACATGGAAAGAACCTGATCAGACAGAATGCAGCATGGGCTTCAGATTCAGAAGATGTTACAATGTTATGGAAAAAGGTGCTCCTTGCAGGATTTTCTTTGGACTATCAATCCTTGCAATAGTCTGCAACACTATGTAAATTAAATATACTGTAGGACGATACCAGTAGCTTATCTGCTCAGTCACAGCTGTTTATATACTCATGGTTTACTCAGGTTGGACTACTGCAAGCAGCACCTTTAAGTGATCAAAGAATGATTATGAAGGGACCTACAGTCCTCACCCGCTTCTGGGAAATGCCTGCTTTCTGCACAGCCCACAGCGTATCCATAAACCAGCTGCGGTGGCGCGGATGCTCTGGTGGAGGCTTGCGGATGTTAAGCAGTGCAGAGCTGTTGGACCTGGCTGCCAGACGCAGCATCTCCACCAGGCTGCAGACTGTCTGGTTGCCTATTCTGTTCCGCTCCCTCGCTGTCAGGGTCTTTACTGTCCAGTAGGGGTCGCTCTGGACGCAAAGGAGAGCAACAGAGATCCAGACACTGAGATGTAATGGCTCTACATACACTATGCTCTGTAGAATGATGATAGAATGATGATGTATACAACTTATACAGCTAATTTGTGCATTGCTCATTCATACCTCATGTTTTTATGTGTTTACAAAGACAGCACATTGCCTGTTCTTCATACTGTGAAGGACTTTTAGATATTAGATTTTTATATTGTTGATATATGAATTTTCCTTTTTTCTTTCTTTTCTGCATCACCAATATAATCACAATAAATGACAGCATACACATATTTATTTCCATTGAAAATACCCAGTTTGTAATCTTAGATCTCAGTCTGCTTCAGCTTTAAAGGGGCTATATGAAAGTTTTCTCTGCCACCGAATGTTGTTTCTTGACAAGAGCTTCAGCCATTATTGTCTGTACAAGACGAGAGATTATAATACGCCCTCTGAGCAGTTTTACGTCTTCAGGCCAGATCGGAGGCTGCAGTGAGTTGCTATCAGAAAGTGACAAGCATGCTAGCTTGTTAGCGTGCTAACTTCAGTAGAAGAACATTGCGATTGCTTTCCAAGTGTAAAGCTATTAATGCTAATGCTGGCTAAAAACAGCAAAACTTATAAATAGCTCCTTTGAAATAACTCACTGTCCTTCTGCAAGTGTATTCCATAACTGCAAAATGTTGTCAGTTTTAATTATTGGAAAATCAAATTCATATAAAGCACTTATTTATTTCTATATATCATGTTTTATTTATCATGCTCACCCCCAATGACATGGGGGTGAGCTGAGGTGAAGTAGGTTTCAATACCTCCAAAAACCAATGGCCTGCATTTAGAGAGCGAATCTCTGTCCAGTTGAAGAAAGAGGCATCATCGAACTGTCTGGCTGGAAAGACCTTACTGACGTCTGTGGTTCGCCTCAGCGTGTGGTCTCGCATGAGGAACGGAACCCCATCCACACTGGGAGGGACACAGTGGTCAGAAAATGTTGCACTTTAAATCACATATTTTGTTGCATCTGTCTCATTAAATCTAATAATTTCTACTAAACAACTTATATCTGAGCTGAGGGACCTACATGTGGAACATGAGAGCAGAATTAATTAAATATGAATAACTCAGGATTACAATGTTATTAATGTGCATTTAATAACCTGATAGTGACGTCGGCCTCCAGGGAGGTGGCTCCATGCTGCAGGGCTCTGTTGAAGGACACCATGGTGTTTTCTGGAGCCAGCTGGAGCAGAGAGGAGACAGACAGGAGGACTACTGTCAGTCACTGTGTGTAGAAAACACACGTCAACAGGGAGTGGTACAATTATAAACAACATATAAACAGAGCAGTATGATTTATTGACATCACATTTGTGTTAAATGATTAAAAGCCAAAGCTAAAAAAAATCATTACCACGCACATCTATGCATCACCCATGGTTTATTTATTGAAATTATTTAATGCAAAACATTTTTTTTGTTGTTTCATAATGTCTTTATTTATGGTTTAACCTTCTAACTCAGTTGTTCCAAACCTTTTCAAACTCATGGTCCACTTGAAAATCTAAAAAATGTTAACGGCCAACATCCAACCCCATAACAATACAGAGGCTAAAATAATACGTTCTCAGAGCACTTTTTATTCTAATGATAACGAGTGAACATTCAGGCCTGAACTGAAAGCAGGGGAAGCTGGAATTTTCTTTTTTGTTTGATCAAAGAGATAATTATCCCAATTACCAACAGACTACACACTGCCCTACACAGTCAAAACACTGTATCTTTTTAAATGACTATAAAAAAAGTATTTCAAAAATAGAAATGTTTCATTTCAGGGCAGAATACATCACGAGGCCATTCTTATGGATGCAGCAAATACAAAAACAGGCAAAAAAAGAAAAATAATTAATCTCCATATTTGTGTTAATGCATAACATAATAATTGCTCTTTTAGCTTCATTAATATACTAGTAGGAGGTGGCAGGTCAGTGATTTTAGTTAAAAAAAAAAAAAAAAAAAAAAAAAAAAATATCCAAAACATTGGTCTGTGATTCATTCAGAACCTGAGGTTAGCAAAAAGGTGATTTGTGTTACTGTGTGTTCGGTGTGTGTGTGTGTGTGTGCCTTTAGGACATTGCAGGAAAACAGTTCTAAGCATCACTGTACATTTGTTCAGTATTTACTCAGCCAGCTATGAAATGACAGTTCATTGTGTTGATGACTGTCAGTTACTGAGCTCAACAACAACAGACTCATGTACTGTACGCAACTACACAATAATACATTTGAACACCACTATTTTTTTTACACTTTTATCCAGATCAGGAAATGAACACCTCACAGGTCTTGGCCGTATCATGCTCTCCCCACAGAGCTGAACATCATTCATTTGAACAGTTAATCTGTTAGTCAGTCTGGCAAAGCACCAACTCACCATAGGAGCTCCCCGTCGACCAATGATGTCTGGTCGATGTCTGAGGCTGTGACGGTCCATGATGCAGGGGCAGGTGAACGTGAGTGGTGCTATGTAGACAGCCAGGAGGATAATGATGTAGATCAGTAACACCATCATCTGGAAATCTAAGAGGGAGGAGTGAGAGCGTTTTAAGAGTCACTTTATTCATCTTCTGATCATGTCAGCTACTTATTAGGACAAAAAAGCTTTGTCTGTGTTGGTCGGTAGAACTGTTTTCAGTAGCAGAGGGTAGGGGCGTTCCTCAAAGGGGAGAATGATTGGCTAATGCCGGAAAATTCAGACAATTACCGGAAAGCACTGGAAAATCAATTTAGCATCAGCAAACACAGTGTGAATCTGAAATATCTTCACATGGTTATACAATTATTACATGATAGCACCTTTATAATGTTTATGTCATCCACAATAACTGTGATGAAATATATTCGTCAACAACCTTTTTTGAAGAACACGAGACGTCGGCGAGACAGAAATGATCATTTAATAACATCTGTGACTAAATTTCCACACAATCTTGATGATGAACAAAGATGAGACTCAAAGGAGTCTGAAAATAAAAGCTTGAATGAAATCTTTCTATATTTTCATTGACAAAAAAGAGGATACAGAAATACATAGACTGTTGTTTCAAACAATGACCTAATCCAAATGTCCTTCTTCCATTGGATTTTTGTGCTGCTCATTTCTCTTCCTGCGCGTGCGACTCAACTTCCTGGTGATCTGCACACTAGCAGCACAACGGTGAACATATCACCAACAGTACCAGCCTGGACCTAGCAACTGTACGTACAGAGACGCTACGACTGCAGCAGCTCAGGCGACGTACAGTGACAGGAAAAGAACATGGTTAGATGGACTTAGTAAGGTTGACATCTGGACATTTGGACATTGGGACCCGCTTCAAATACAATGCCACCAGGAGAGAGAAGCCACAAACCTGAAAAGTCATCAGCCCAGCCAGCTATGTTGGCTAACCCTCTGCTTAAGAAAAGCTTGTTTATTCTGGAGTGAACTTTCTATTGGTGCTAAAGCGTACACAACATTGCATAACATTTACTGGTTATTAAGGTGCACTGCATATTATGTAGAAGACTGGTTTTGGGTTTGAATGAATCTTAGTCAGCCAATCAGAAGAGAGGCTCTGACATCGACACAAAACACCCTGTTCTTAACAGAGCTTCAGAGAAATGTAAAACTACACTGAGGTGGTTTTTGGTATTTAAAATCAAAATGCAAGAACTTCAAATGTAACACTGGAAGAGTGTAAAATATGTGACCTTTAAGATGTAAATATAGAAATGATCTTCATCAGTCCTTATGTATAAATCAAAGAAATGGAAAGCAGACTTCCCGGTGGATGACTGGGGATCTTAAGTCGCCACTTACTGGATCTCTCTCTGCGGACCACATATCCAGCTACCAACCAGCTGATAGCTGTGACTGTTGCCAAGGCTCCAATGTGCAGGAATGGAGCTGTGGACTGGCAACAGAACACAAATATAGAAGAGTGGTGTTAGTTGGTGGTTACTCATACTGCACAGTGCAACTTTGAAGACATTTAGATAATAAATATATGTGTCGGAATGTGTGTGTAAGATTTCAATTTGGACAGATAACTGGAAAATCCTGAAAGGAAAAGTTTTGGGAATTGAAGTGATTTGCTTTCTTAGACAAGTTAGACAAGAAGACTGATGCCACTCTCAGATCTGTCTGCTCAACAGCCGGCAGCTTGTTAGCTTAGCTTAGCTTAGCATAAAGACTGGAAACTGGTTGAAACAGCTAGCTGGCTCTGTCTGAAGGTAATAAAATCCACCTCCCAGCACTTTGAGATTTGTGAGGCTATTTCTTGGCAAGAAGCAATGGCTATGTTTCTTTATGCTAAGCTAAGCTAACTGGCTACTGGCTGTTCCTTCATATTTGATGGATAGACAAAAGAGGGATATCAGTCTTCTCATCTAACCTTTGCTAGGAAAGTGAATAAAAATATTTCCCAAAATGTCCAACAATTTATTTAGGTTTGTCAAAACATAAACAAGATTGGACTGTGGTGACTAAAACTGTGAGAAATTAAACTATTCAACCTATAATTATTCAAATTATTATGTGCAGCTTTCATAAATCCCTGTTTCTTTAAAGTGAAACAAACACACCCCATCACCCCACTTTAAATCCCTCATTTAAAATTATTGCCCCATTATAGAAACTCCAGTTGTAATTTATTGCACCCATCTTTAACCGTCACATGCAGTAAGCTGATGACCAACCTGCAGTGATACCAGCAGGATGTCCCACTCGTCTCCCCATATGTCATCAACAGAGATGACACCAGAGACAGTGGTGAGCAGTGTAGCCAGCACTCCAATCTGTGGAGGTGAGACGCACAGTGATGAAGTCAGGTTTTATTTCCAAACTGTGTCTGTGGATCAATTGATGGCGACAATTTAAGATGTGAATCACAGCACCTTGTGAACCCAGTAGAGGTTCAGCTGCTGACCCAGGGATATGTGGAAGAGAGCTAAAATCTGCAAAACAAGCAGGATTCAGTGAGTTACAGCTTAACTGATCAATAAGCCAGTCCACTAACATTTAGGGGAAAACACAAGTGAATAATACACATAACACACGTGTCAATATAATGGCAACACAACACGTAAGAATAAAAAGTACTAATAAAAATAAAAAAAATTCAAATAACTAGATTGTCAGTACCATTTAGAAACTGAAATATACTTATGACACATATGTGCTAATTGCAGTGGTTTGGTGTAACTATTTTTTCCAAAAGACACTTGCTTCAAAAACTTGATTGAGCTTTATGATATTATATGATATTTACCTAACAGAAATAGGGCCAGGACCCTAAACATAATGTAGTGTTGGTGAAAATGAATGTTAGCCAATCCTGAATATTGATCCCCAATCTTGCAGCATACAGACAATAAAGGAACAAATGTGACGGGTCCTCTTCTTCCTCATTACAGAATCTGCATAATGATAATTGTTCTTTGCTAAACATGTTAAGATGTTTTTGTTGTTTTGTAAATTGATCAGATTTTTTTTCCCCAGCGTATTAAGATATAGAATTTGTCTTTCCAGTATGAACAGACTGCATGTGGGAAAGCAGTCAGGCCTCAATTGAAATGATAAATTATTTCTTCTATCTTTGCTTTGGATAGCACTGACCCTCTGTCTGTTTCCTGTTTCCAGGTAGTTGGTATTCTGTATATGAAATCCAAAACAAAGCAACAGCAAAACTGATAGCATGAAAGAAAAAGCAAGACTGTTACCAGTAAGAACGTGATGTAGCTGAATCCCACGGTGGTGGATGCGAGGATGGGGATCGTCTCATCACTCCATTCTCCAGAGCGGTTGTATACTGACCTGCAGTGTGAACAGATAAAGGCTGACTGATCTATGCTGATCCCTAGTCCCATCCTCATCAGACATGCTGGTCATAAAACACAGTCACACAGTGAGAAAACTCACTCACCAGTTGAACTCATTGAAATCATTTTGAGCCACCAACCAGAAGTAGGCCCAAAAGAGAAGCAGAAGGAAAGAACTGCATAAGATGATGAACCATGTACACTCCCACTGTGGAGGAAAACACAAAACAGATTTCACTTTATTCCTCTATTCCATAAGAGGACTGGAAGAACAAGCTCTGAGAAAAAAATTTAAGCTCCTATGATCAATATTTTTATGTCAACAATGGATCAAGTTCTTATGTGTAATGTGGAAAGTGTCGGTCGTAGTGACAAAAGCACAGATAATTATCACCCGAACTGAGGTTTCCCTCAGCTCAATGGAGCCTCACAGCAGCTTTTATTTCATTGTTTTTGGTTTTTATGGCAACTTCACTGTTTTGGTTCACGCCACCAGCTCTCTTCCAGATGCAGCTGTTCTCTCTAATCTCTCCAATCCCTCTATGAACTATATGCCGAACTATAGGTGACAGAAAATGAATGCTGTGTAGTTTACGTCTGCTGCTCGCGAGTGGCCAAAAGCATCTGTTACTGCTTTTTTATTAATTCCCCAATTTTTGCATTTTAACACACAAAGAAAGTAAGGTTTAGCTTGGCTGACAAAACTGCAACACTATGAACCTGACTCACTACTCCCTATATAGTCCACACTTTTGTAGAGTTGTCCGAATGTATAGTGAGAATCATTATACCCTATATAGTGGACTCATAGTATCCCACAATGCATCGTGAAAAGTAGTGTACAACTGATGGTCGCTAACCAAGCAATATATACCATTACACGTTGCGCTCGTGTTGAAACGGAAATTTACATAGATTGTAGTGTCAGAAAGTGTTTTTCCATTTTACCGATGAGCTCATTATATAGTCCTTTACATAGAACTCCCTGGATAGTGAGTAAGGAGTAGTGAATGTGTGAGTGATTTCGGGCAGTCATGGTGACTGTCGCTCCTCAGGCTACTACCCACTGCTTCTTTTATTTTTTCGTAACAATCTGCTGTTGACGACTTGCAACAGCAAATGTTTCCAACAGAAAAAAGTGTATTGATCCTTAGAGGTGTATTATTTCATGTCAGCAGGTGAAGAAGTTCTGTAGAAAGCCAGTTTATTAACCTTGTCAAGTTTCCATGTTATTACTGAAACATGTTTTCTCACTGCCAGGTTTTTTACTCAACAGTCTTCTGGCATCACATGTGGGGCAAAGGTGTAGAGGAGAGTTTGTGCAGCACTCAAGGACTCTTGCTTTCAGTAGTTAACAGGATTAGCAGCTAATGCCATGTGAGGGGAGGTGCAGAGTATGATAGGCCAGTCAACAGATCCTGTTGAGGACTGATCAGCTTTGCACCCATCGTGCCTGGACTCACCGTTTCCAGCAGCTTATGTAAGAGGCTGGGAGTCAGTTAGATGTGTGTGCAGGTAAAGAGCAAATGGCTGCACTGATGAGGCTGTGGAGACTTGTGAAGGGTCTCACTCTCAGTCCAGAGAGGAGACATGCATCGGGGAATATCTCCTAATCTGATGTAGCCAGTAGAAATATGACAGCACAGGTTAGGATATGACAAGTACCGGGGGCTGTTTTTAATTGGCTTTTTTAATTGGCTTAGCAGCTGCCTGAATGTCAGGTGACTGTACATGGCTATGAGGCACTGAGCCAGAGTCACCTTGTCAATTTAACTCATGCAACCAAACAACTATGGAAATCTTAGTCCTAACAGTCACTTTTATGTTTCCCAAAATGTGTGACTTTAAAATATAATTCCTCTCTAATATTCATCTTTGGAAGTTTCCTACATCCGGGTATCTACTCCATCTCCAGTGGGCTTGTATTGGATGAAAACATCTGAAAGACATTATGTGAAGCAGTGAGTATGTGAAAGAAGCTATAAAATAAATTCTAGCACATTTATGAAAATGTCATCAGGTTATTAAATTCCCTGATACACCCTCATTTTCCAGATTTTGAAAATTCTCTGTTGTCTGTGTCTATGACTGGTTGTTTGGTCGATGAGGTTGAGGGTTGAGGGTCACAGGTGGGGTCAGAAGAAGGTCGTGACTACAGTAATCCCTGGCTGAGAAAATCTCCTTGGTGAAGAAAATGGTGACAAAAAGAAGCTTGTCCCTCATTAAACACTGTCAAAGTTCCCACTAGCAAGACATTAAGATCATTACTCAACTGCTCCAGTGGGAGCGTCCTCTCCGCCTCCACCGGCAGGGACTACCTCTGACTAGAGGTGGACAATATGGACAGTAAATCCTTGAAATGTGAGTGACAAAAATAACCATCCTGGGATATCTGTGTGTGGCTAATCCACATAGTTAAATGACTGGTGCAAAAACTCTCCAGTGGCATAAAATCAGCCCCGCTCAATGATTTGTAATAAGAGAGTATATCATCCCTGAAGTATAACACAAGAAATACCAGAAACAAAACATTTTAGGGGTTCGTCATACTGTCATACTTCACTTCATCCTTTCATCCAAAGTGTAGTTACCCCCAGGTAACTCTCATTATGCAGTACACTTCATTTTCAGAGGAGCTGTGTGATATCTGACACTTTGTGGTTCCTCCATCTCTCCAATTAGAACTGCTGGTAGCCCACGTCTGACAGCGCTCATAAATCCTTATCTATGCGCTGACTTCACCATATTACGAACCTCTCCCTCCTTCTTTCCTCTGCTGATAAATACTGTATAGAATGGCCTGGATCAGACAAGGTCAGAGTCAGCTGAACATGGACTCTGATAAATCAGAACAGATAAATAAATTAAAATAAAGCAGCATGTGGTTATGCCAATATAGACAGGGGATATATTACATTACTATTTTTATTTTATGGAAATGGATGTTTGCAATACTAGAACAAAGTGAGACTGAATATTAGAATTGGACCATTGCTTCACTAGATTACGGCAATTAATTAATGTTGTATATCATATCTTGCATCATCAAAATGTTTAATAGATAAATAGCTACTGTGTGCCAGAACTGCCGTTTCATTACCTTAGAAGCTGATAGGAGTTAGCCAACATGTTACATCGGACATTATACATCTAGCAGACATGGAGCAACATTAGCATTCACTGAAGTGAACATACACTCCTGCATGGTGGGCCTGAGAGCGCAACGCACGGCAACGCACGGCAACGCACGGCAACGCACGGCAACTTAAGAAAACACATGCAAATAGACAAAACAAATTCAGAAAACATCTTCATCAGTTTGGCAACTCACAACACAACAGAAGTGTCTCCAGGGGACATTAAAATGTGATAAACCTGACTGGGACACGTGTTGTTCAATTCCTTGTGATTTTTGAAGTTAAAAGCATTGAACAACAAATGTGTCCCAGCTGGGTTCATCACTTTTTAAAGTTTTCTTTAAAGTTTTTTTTGCCTTAATTCCAATAGCAATAGCAAAAGCTTCATGGTACAAGTTGTGAGTATTTGCACAACGTTTGTTTATTTGGTTATGTTGTGAGTATTTGCAGCATGTGTTGTAAAATTGATGAAGACGTTTTCTGTTTCTATTTGCATGTTTTTTTCTTAAGTTGCAGGGCACTGAGCTCTCAGGGCCATGGACGTTTTGCCCTCTACCAGTTCTTCAGAAAAAATATCAGGCTCTTTAACTGTTAGATGCTCCACTATGTTCACCAGCCAGTTGCTAACTTTATCTGTCTGCTGCAGGTCAGGCAGCGTACAATCATCAAACACAGCTGCCTGCTGCAGCTGGACATGAGGTTGGTGAGAGCAGTGAGAGTGAACCAGAACAGTGAAGTTGTGGGTTGTAGAGCCACAACAGTTCGCTGAGAGACGCTGTAAGTCGCTGCAGAGCCGAGTGTGGGTTTATCACTACGGGTGACCTCATCACATTAAAGGTATAGGCTACACTTCATCCATTGTTAATATTAAATTATTGATTACTGCGGCTTTAAATGGTCATGCACACAGTTTCTTGGAGTAATGCAATGCTGCTGTTGACCATGAGGCCAAAGTGCACAGTTGTCCCTACACACACAGGCAGAGGTTCAGCACTGATGACTTCTAAAAGAACATTAAGTGGAAACACATAGATGCATTGAGGCTGAAATCCACCCTGCAGTAAGACACTGACTCTGTGTAATAATAAAATCAGTCACACATCACTGTGCTGCAGAGTACACAGACAGCATTTCAGAGCATGAATGCTAGCCTCTCTTATGTCTCTGTGACAAGCACAGCCTGTGTGACCACATGAAGCTTTGTAAACAGAGAGAGAGAGAGAGAGAGAGAGAGAGAGAGAGGGGAGAGAGAGAGTGAGCATATCATCAGTAGCCAATTCACTCCCTCAATAACGGTCTAATTTATGACTGAGCCACTGGTTCTTTGTGATAAGACGTCCAGCAGCAGCAGCAGCAGCAGCAGCAGCAGCACTGTCTGCCTGGTGGACATCCAACACAGCTGTGTGTCTGGCCCTGCTTTACACATTCAAACACTGCACTGATTCTGTTACTCGCTTTACTGTAGGGATTGTTTTCCCCAGTTAGCAGGCCCTGGTCAGGAAGTCCCTCAGGAATTCAAGAGAAAAGATAGGACGACATCGACATGGATTTTGTTCTAGTAAGTATAATAATTAGTTTTGATTTTGGTCCTTAATCAAAACAAAGCCTGCCCAACATCTTTTCTAAACTCATAAGATGATGACAGACTATATCTGAATTGGCAGGGTTTTATTTTCATAAGCTTTTTGTGTGTCAATGGAGCAATGTACAATGCAAGGCATCTAAAATACTTCCAGTTAGGATGTTAACAGTGGCCGAGGGTCGACAATATGTACTATGTGGACTTCAGTATCCCTGGTTTGAAGAATATATACTGTTCTTTAAATTTAAAAAATGGCCAAAAAATAGGCAAAAAAAGAACAAACAAACAAAATAACATAGTCAAATGATGAAGCAATTTTTGTTAAAATAAAACGTACCTAAATAAAAAACTGAAGGGAAATACAAGGTACAAAAGGAGCCTGTGATGCCACAATCAAAATGACAGCGTGTATATTGGGTTTGCTGTTGTGTAGTTTTCTGTTGCCTTTCACAAAGCATGACCTATTTTTTTTTTCTGGCCTTCAGAACCACAAAATGGAAAACAGTTCATTTATTCCTGAGGTATGGTCAGGTTTCAGTGCAGCCTCAGCAGGATTGTGTAGTCTCAGTGTCTCTGTTTTGTTCTGCTGTACATTACGCCAGTGGACACACACACTCTACTCAATTTACTTTCTTTACATAAAAGCTTATCTAATGATCTTTGTAAAGAAACTAGAATAAACATGGAAAGGCAGAATACAAACTGCCTTTGTTCTTTCTTAAAGTCTTTAGATAAACACACTGTAGATGTTCACACACATCTCTCTTAGCGAATCAATCCTGCCACTTGTTCTTATCATTAAAACCTAGTATTTGATCAGACTAAACTTACATTTTATTCATGCAGTGGTGTAAATGTCTGTTGTTGTGATAGGCCAGGTTACTACAACAACAAACATGTAACAGCATTAGCATTTAGCAAATATAGCTACACTTACTGCCGCTAAAGTTTGATAAATAGTTGGAAGATGATGTACTTTAGTTTTATCGTAACAGCTCGTTTCAGCCTACTGAGGGAAGATAAATAAAGCATGTTGGACACAGCACTGTCTGACATACAAGCTGTGGGTTAAAGGGAGAAAGATCAAATACAGGGCTGGGTATCAAACCTCTGACTGAAATGTGTCCACAGCAACTGGTATTGAAAACTGTCAAGTACTCAAACCTGGGATTGGATGTCTGATCAAATTCATAGTAATGTTAATTTATTCTCTAATCAGACATTTCAAGATTTAAGAATATTTGAGGCCTTTGGTGCCTTTTGTTTGTCGTTTGTTTGCACTGTATTTGCATTATTACTTAAAAACTCCAAACAATAACCAGCTTTAATCAAAGGTTTATGATTTTATCCATCTGCAACAACTTACCATAACAATGGTGCTGTAAAAGTAAGGTATAGCTATATTTTGATCACTATACTAAGCAAATAATATTAGGATTTTTCCTGTTTGTTATTATGACATCCACACTCAGTGATCAGAGGTATTATCTTACCCTGGAGCTGTCGTCTTGGGAACGCTGGTAGCGTTTCCAGCGGCAACCATAGATCCCAGTGACAAAGGACACAAAGACCTGCTTCTCATAGACCTGTAAGGGTTGGTGTTTCACCATGCTCCTTCAGCCTCAACGCACCACCAGTCTGTTAACATCCCACACAGGACTGTGAATCCTGTAGGAGAACAAAGTGTTACTACACAGGACAAGCTTTCACAAAACAAGCTCAGTCTTTGTACTTACAATTACATACAGGTATATTTTCACAAAACAGCGTGGATATGTTCATAGCCCTGGGCTTTGTTTAGAGTAACAACACCTGCGAGAGGACGTCAACACACGATTCAATAGTGAGTCATGTCTGGGACAGACATAATAATATGGTTTGTGTCTTACTGTCAGTAGGTCAGCCTTTACTCATCTAACGATTTATGACAGTGGAAAAGTGGCAAATAGGCATTGGTAAGGAGGTAGTGCCTATCTATGGGTATGACTTAATCCTTCAACAAGAAGAACATCAATAAAAAAAGTGCCAAATGGAGACAGCATGTTGCCCTCAAATTCACTTCTGCCTCAGAGAAAAGCTTGTTGCCTTGGTGGCAGGTAAAAATGTCTTGGCACAGAAGGCCTTGTTTTTCATGGTTCTCGGGAGGAGCTGCTGCTGCGGTGCCTTGTCTCTTTCTTAAGGCTCATTTACTGCATAATTTTACTTAATGTAACCGACAGTAATGTATGTCTTATTTATATTATATCTCCTCCTCTCCAAAACAAACAGACCCAGTGATTAAAACCTAATAAAGCAGTTTCACCTTGAAAATCAGTGTTTCTACGAGGCTGTTCGGTGGACGCAGGAAGTTTCGGAGGAGCTGGGAACTGAGCTGCTGCGAACGTTTGCTCAGCTAGTTTTTCTGTTAACTTAAGATCCAGACATCTGATGACTGAAATCCTTCATCTGGTTCAAATTCATGGTTAAAAATGACCAGTAGTCAAAATGTGTCATAAAACTGGATAAAAAGTCAGTTTTTGACCGCTGCAGGCAGACAACCTGAATGCTAACCCACCCATTTTTAGACATTTTAAAGCAGAAAAGTTCCATATACAAAAATAATTTTGCATAATACTTTGGATTATGACCAAATACCTGCAAAACTAATAGCATCCCCACCAGCCTCAGCTACTTAGTGATTAGTGTTAGTGTGCTTAGCAAATGCTAACATGCCTTCTGGCTAAATGAATGAACGGGAGCGTGTCTATGTTCCCACAGCCCTATGTTCCCCTTTTATACCCTTTCAGAACGCTTTGCATCCACGTTCCACGGCGTCTTCACATTTATCCACCTCAGCGATCGTTTTTGTAAAGCATCATTTTCAGTTACGGAATTCACCGTTCTAATGTGGACGGAAGGGCTAACCGGATAAATATTACCCGGGTTAGTGTGGACATGGGCTTATGGGAACATATAAGACTGTGGGAAAATAGGGCCTAATTTTCAAAACATTCTTAGAAATGTGGGAACATAGGGCTCACCCCGAATGAACAATGGTGCACCTGGTAAATGTTAGTATTGGTTTTCCACTGATAATCATACAAGTAAATAAAATCAGTTCTGATATTCACACTAAAAGCTTCAAGTCCGATCAGTAAGGATTAGGATCATCGCAGTGTTTTAGATGCTCAGAGTTCTCTTTTCTGGCTAAGCAAAGATACATAATATTCTTTAAGCCAAACTGTGACTGAACACCAGACTATGCAGTTGAATGGAAATGAAGTAAAATTTATTTATACAGCACTCCTCATAGACATGAGTCACAAAGGGCAATGGATAAAACGAATGAATTTCTTCCAGTCCTTGTATGTCATGTATACTGTACACACACATAAATCAGATTACAGAACAGTAGCAAACCCTGACAGATAGTACTGGTCTCCACCTGATGCTCAATGGCGGAACAGTTTACAGATGCCACTGTTTAAAAAGGAAGGCTGAGAGCAGACTGATGGACAGTAGATCTAATGTTCTGAACCAAAGTCAAAAGTGGACCTGATCAGAGAGTGCCAGGTCACTCACACCGCTGGCTGATGTTACCGTCTTAAAACAAATCGCCATCAGACTGATTGTGTCGACGACTTTGAAAGGCTTCAGAGAGGGGCAGCTGCAAGTGTCACTGGTCACAATCATGTGTCCCCCTGCAGGCAGTGTTTTGCCCACATGACAACAGAGGATGGATGAAGCGGACACCTTTGATGCTGCGGTCACAGGGACAATAGCACTGTGTCAGAAAAACAAGCCTTCCTCATTCATTTCAATGACACCACTGCGTTGGTACAGCAGGGGTGGAACTGCAGAGGGGTCTGTGGGGAAATGACAACAACCCACCCTGATCCTCACACCACTTATTAAGACGGAACCATTTGGTGCTGTTGAACCCACAGCAACAGCCATAATTACCATTCCCTGGACAAGTCCATTGGCATAAAAACTAAAACAAAACCCAGAGGAAATAAAATGTTTACTATTTTCCTGTTTATCTTTTTTTGATAAAGGGTAGCAATGAAAGGCAATTTCCCAGATAGATAAGGGTAGATAAGGACGTGTTTCCTAGTCAACGGTCCATAACAAAACAAACTGCTCCTTTGTCCTTATCTGAGTCCTATATGAGCAGAGAGATTACAACATGGAGGTGGGACCAGACTAAATTGGTGTCTGGCTGTATCTGTTTAGTGTAATGCTCACCCTCTGACCCGTGTCACTTCAAGATTTTCAGAAATTCAACAGGGGAAACAAACCTGGAACAAACCTAAGCTTGAATCAGTGAAACCTTTGACCTGCAGGTGGTGCAAGAGGGAAAGTCACAGGGTCACAAAATCTTTAGAATTTATCCTTGGAAATCTGTACCAAATGTCACGGAAATCCATTCAATAGCTGTCGTTTTTTTCAACCCTCTGATAAGACCCATAGGACTGTCATTTGAAATATCACCTCTATGGTGCCAGGCGTACCGGACCTTTATTGCCATGGTTACAAAAATTGATGGTTATGGCTTTTTTAGGTTTAGGCAAAAATCTACTTGGTTTGGTTTAGGGAAAATATCATGGTTTGGTTTAAATACAACTACTACAACTACTTCCTTCCTCTTTGTTGTCATGGTTACAGTAATAATAAAGTGTTTTTTCAACTTTGTCGAATGGTCATGGATAATAGAAACAACATAAACTGCTACTTTCACATGGGAATTGAACACTGCTCTCCTGTATCATAATCCTGTGTTTTGTTGACCCATCCATCCACCTCCATCTCCTCCTGATGTAAAGTTTGTCGCTCTATATACTACGTCACCTGACTTCTCCCTTTGCTCCTGTTGTAATTACTTCAGCCACTAGATGTCGCCTACCAACAAAACGAAACTATGGGTCATAATAACCTGCTGCACAGATGACCTATGGACTCGTTTTTTTTACAGGAGGACAGTGTCACTTGAAGAGAGGTCAGAGGTAAGTGACCACAAATGTAAAAAATATCACACTAATCCATCCAATAGTTGTGGAGATATTTCTGGACCAAAGTGGCGGACTGACCTAACTGAACTGCCAGACTACAGGTACATGCAATCTTGGCCTCCTCTTTCATAATCAAAAGGTAGTATATTTTATTGAGGATACCATGTTAAATTTCCCAGTGGGTATTACAGACTTATTTAAACTTGTAAATAGCATCCAACAGGCAACTAGTTTTATGGGAATTGTCTTGTGGTTGTTGAACCACCACTGACAGGAAAATGGCTTGTTATGACGACATGTGTCCTAACCAATGTTCTTATCATCAATTGGTCAGTGCTGACACCTTGGCAGAAAATCTTGTTTTGTGATCAAACTGGGCCAGATCTGGACATGTTGTATGTCAATGTCTTCCATCATCATACTAAAATAAAATGAGAATATCTAAAAAAGTAACAAAACCCCAATACAAGGTTTTTGGGTTTTTAGTGTCACATGTTATAATACTTGTATCATGCATTGTATAATGCATTGTGTGTCCCATTCAGGTTTTCTCAGGGGATAAGCGTGAGTGTTTGTTTAGGATCCAGTGCTAACCTTAATCTATACAACAGTCTTCAAAAGGAGGAAACTGTTGAGCATACACCTTGCAGATCTTCATCCTTTCACTGTTGACTGGTTATTATATGGGAACTTCCAGGCCTGAGCGAGCATTCTCCTGTATTCAGAAGAGTTGGCGGACTCCCAGCATTCATGTCCTGACCCCATCCTCAAACAAGGGCCAACTGGAGCTGAAATCACAGGGGCCTTATTCCAGCCAGGTTGGCCTATTGTCTCTGCAGCTTTCTACCACAGTGCTGTCGTCACAGAGCTGAGGTCAGCATGAGGTAAAATAGAACCAGTCAAGGCTGAGACACTAACTCCATATAAATTATGTCTGGTATGTTTTCATTAAAATGGTGCAAATATGGAAAGTTTGTCTTCCCATATCTGATTCTCTTGTCCAGGAAACACAAACGGAACATAAGGAAATGAAATTGATTTAGTCAGAGGTCGTTTCCTAATGTGGATAAAATGGAAATGTTTTCTCAAGAGGCACAGGTAAGTGTTTCTGTCTGACATCAGGGATAATGCTCTGGTAGTCAGACATTTTTAATGAAATGAAGCTGTGCAAGGAACAAAGGCGGTGCTTGTTGCAAGTCAAAAATACTAAAGAGATCCAAGGAAACATGGAAGTGTTACTGCAAAGTGATACTTTTTTTTTCTGGATTCTAGACGCTTGACACTTGAATCTGCCATCATAAACCACAGTTCCTTTAAAGGAAGGTCTTCAGCACAACCTCTATTTACAGTTTAACCACTGTAGGCAAATGCACACACACAGTTCTGAGAACAAAAGCTTTTAACCTTAACCTTAACCATTTTTGATGAACCTGCATTTACCTGATATAAATCCACTTTAGCTGTCTCATGCTGAAACCTGAAAAATGAGTGGAGACCAGGATGACACTGCCCCCATCCATAGGGCATGAGGGGTCATTGAATGGTTTGATGAGTAAGAAAATCACGTGAATCATATGCTGTGGCCTTCACAGTCACCAGATCTGAACCCAGTTGAACACCAATGGGAGATTTTAGACCGACGTGTTAGACAGCACACACTCTAGGACCATCATCACAACACCAGAGGAGGGAATACCCCCCCCCCCATAGAGTCAAAGCCAAGTACGATTGAGGCTGTGGTGGATCAACTCTTTACTCAGACACATTATGTTGGTTTTTTCCCTTCATTTGTCACCAGTGTGTACTTCATTCATTTCATTGTTAGCTTTTGAATGTAGTTTATTTTGCCACAGTACATGTGCTGTAATGAGTCAGCAGTGTTGGCTGATTTGTTGCTGTACCTACAATAGTAGGAACTGTGCTGTTGATTAGACTCTCAGCTCTAATGTCCATATCAATTTTTAATGTGAATTCTATTGTTTCTTTTAGCTTCTGTTACATACTGTGTACAGTATAGTAACTCTGCTTTTTCAGGACAAAGCTGTGCTCAACCTACACGTATGACAAAGCTCTGTCCTGTGGGCTTTCTGCTGGGCTCTCGTTCAGCTGGCTTCAAGCCAGGTTCCTCTCACAAACCTGCCATTTACCTGAGAGGACTTTACTACTCCTCACTTCCTTGACAGCTTCCAGAAGTAACCTGGTTACTGTCCCCATGCTCCTGAGGCTGCAGGCACCTCACTCTGTCACACTGGTCAGTGGAGTTAGAATTATGTGCTCATTGAATAGTAATACAATAATCCACTAAATCTCATCCAACCAACTGCCACAGAGCCTCTGCCATATCTGTCTATTCTTAGCCTTTTATCTCGGTCACTGTCGCCTCTTTCCAGGCTTCCGTTGTTCACTCCATCATTAAATTTATATATGCATGCATTAATAATATCCTTAATCTTTCAGTGGATTTAGCCAAAAATAGAGTTTCCATTAGCGCCATGTGCTCATTATCCACAGAGGGAGGAGGCATGAGAGCACTGACCAGAAACAAAGCTGCTTGTCTGCTGCTGTATTTATGCTCAGCTTTTGTTATCAACCTGTGTTCACCAGGTGGTCACAAGACATGGGCCCCTGCTAGTTAAAGTGAGACCTATTGTCCCGCCCTGCACTTCAGCAGCTAAGCAACAGCTGTCAGTTGTGAGGCAGTGTCTGATTCATTAAAGATGATTTGGGTCAGACATCTGGGAGGACAAAAGGACAAACCAATATAATTAAAGCTTGATTTATTTGCCTTGCAAAGATGATGATGTCACCACTCAGTTTTCAAAGATGTTTACCTTTATTTCGATCAAAAAATCCTACAACAGGTCAATAAATCAGCCTTTAAATGTTCTCAATACATGTGAACATAGGAAGGAACTATATGGGAACTGAATTATATATAGTATACAAGGATGACATTTACCCAAAGAGCCTCTATCTATCTCCACAGTTCAATTTACCATGTCAAAAAAGCGGTCTCCATTTACCACATGCTGAATGCATGATGGGAAATGGAGTCATAGCCAAAATAATTCAGTTCAGTGCATGTGTGTGTTCATGTAACCATTTCTTACTTTTGTGGACTTCCAAACACTGACATCATCTTTCAGTTTCTGTACCAAAGTAATTTACAATAAAGTTCTGCAATGTTGTGTTACTGAAGCTGCTCGGTAAACAAGCAGTTTCTCTTATTTCACAGCTGCAGTCCTGCACAAGAACACACGCAAACAAATAGTATGTTGGAGAATCTTCATCTGTATCTGTCTCCATCTACTCTCCTTTCATCTCTCATGACTACCATAATGTATGTATCCTTATGGAGACAGTATAATGACATTAGACGAACATAATGCTGTTGCTGCTGATAGTCTATGCTGAAATCAAATGAAATAAAATTGATATGAATGAACTTCAGAAGATGTGAAGCATAGACACATACTTAGAATGAGTAAAGATGAATTCTTAATTCCAGCTACTGAAGGCAAAAAAAAGTGCCAACAAGTGACAGTTACATGGATTAGGTTTTATGAAGATAATCCGATAAAGTGCGCACAAACACTTACCTCACCTCCACGACAGTCTTTTCTATCCCACAGTGTAGAAAACGTCTCGAGCTCTCGGTTAATCGGTTATTTCCATTGATGTTGCCATAATGTCGTTTCTTCAGTGCTGGACTTTACGGATTCATATGACAAGTCTGAAAAGTTACTTTTAGCGACAGTATGACACAAACCGAAGGCGCACATCAGCCGACTCTACACCTGAACAGCAAACTCAGTTCTAACGCAGCGCGTAATGAAAAATAATAAATAATCCTGTTAAATCAGAGGAAAGTCTCTCCTTGAATAAAACACACCATCAGTGTTCACACAGAAGAGTTAAAAAACTGTAATCCGTCCGGCACGGTGTGGGCGGAGCTTTGAGGCACACTGCAAAAAGTCCCCAGTCCGAGCTGTCTTTAAACTTCACACTGCACGAGCTGGTGTGTTTAAAACTGGTGTCTTTTTTTACAGTGTGCACGGTGACTGTCTCAGGTAAATGAAGCTGAGCAGCAATTGTAGTTCAACTACCACAAGAGAAGCAGGATGTTGATATTTATTGTGGTGACGTGTGCCGTGACAGGGACGGATTTGGCATCATTTTTTAAATGGTTAATGAATTGTCTTTATATGCCTTTATAAATCCTTTACTAAAGTTGTAAAGGCTGAAAAAGATCCCTTTGAATGAAATATATGATCACTTAACCTCTGGAATAAAATCCATTATTAACGACTTACCATGTATTTAGCAGCTTTAGTAAATTTATAGGTATTTTAAAGTGATTTAACTTGAAAATCACAACTGAACTGCTGTTGCATTCAAGTTGAAGTTGTAAAACAGGACTTCCTGTCTGACGGGCAAGCTATTCTTCTTGTAAAAATAATGCAGATATGTGAAATGATTACGCCCCTGATAATATTTTAGTTTTCCAGAAGTTTCTAATCCTTACTCCTGGATAACATGTACAATTAATGTTTGTAAGAAAACATCACTGCAAACATGTGGGAGCATTAAAATCCAGTCTCACTGTTCCCAGTAGACATAAATCTTATGCCATGAATTTGACATGATGGAAATTAAAATTTCAGTGGGATAAGACATGGGAAACAGAGGAGAGAGATGTAGAGAGGAGGGGAGACGACAGACACAATGAGAAGTTATCTGGAGTCCTCTGAGACTTGTAGCACTCCCTGTTCTCCAGACATGTTTGTGCCATTTCGAAAACAATCGTTGACAAAAATGTCATGGTGCTCAGGGAGCTGTGAGCCACTTTTAGAGGGTTAAATCAAGTATGTTGCAGGTCTTCAGTGTGGGTGGAAATGTCAGGAAGGAGAGATCAAAGGGGGATAGAAAGCAAAATAATTTAATTAAACTTCTCAGTAGGGGGGCTGAAGTCGCCAAGGAGGGTGGGTTGGCATCGGCCCCATCTCTGGGAATTGTTGGTGTTTCCTGGAATTTGCCAAGCAGATGTACAGGCGAGACAGTGAGAAGGGTTGTTTCCATGGAGCAGACATGAGCCTGAAGGCTCAAAGTGCAGATGTAGGTCCAGAGGTAGGGGACATCACAAATCATATCTGTTATTTCCATGGACTCCTACTATTTTACAGCAGGAGCTCCAAGAATAATTACGACTTACAGTGACTGTAAATCCAGCATCCAGTCTCTTTGTCTCCTTATGCAAAGTTAAGTTTGATATGAAATCTTTTCATCTAGTCATTTTGAAAGGGTCAGAAAATTCTGTCAGCACATAGAGAAGCATGAAACCTTCTCCACATGCAGAGACTTGCTGTGCTCTACTCTACTATTCTCTTCACTTTAGAGCTACTAAACTATAAACTATTTCAGCAATTAACCTCATTGTTGGATTGATTATGTAACACTCGGTTGTACATCACTGTACAAAATCCAGCAGGCCTTGCACTGCCAACACCTGGCAAAGAGGTAGAGCAGATGAGTAACGTTTTCTAAGAGATCTATTCCAGGCCCAGCAGTCAGAGATTAACCCTTGGCTTGGGATAATTACGTCAGATCCCTTTAATCCTAAACAATTTAGCGGTGGCAGTGACAGTCCTGCAGCCACAAGTTCTCTTAGTGATGCACCTGTGATGGTGTCTTTGAGTGAAAGTGGAAGCAAGAGAAGCACTTTAGTAAACCCTAATATTTAGTAGCTTAATTCCAAATCTGAATCACTAGTTTGAATTCATATTGCAGTAGTGATTCAGTTCAACACAGTGTCACCGAAAACATTTCAGTCTATTGTTTTAGTCGAGTATGATGAATATGATGGTAGCAGTTGTGGCAGTAACAGTAGCACTTGTACCAACAGTAATAAAGATGAATGTTACTTTGCCTCCTGAATTTCTAGCTGGCTCTTTGTTGGCCTCTAGTGGTCATGGGAATTACTTCCACTGCTCAAATGAAAGTTACTATTTGTGCCACCAGAGGGCACCTGTATCCACTAAGACTAATGGCCACCTGGCATATGGACGGTGTGAAATGAATCTCTGAGGTTTTCAGAGAATTTTTAAAGACAAGGGCTGATAGACGGCTTAGATGCAGCCAAAAATGGATTCAGTAAGTACTAGCAGTGATTACATGAATGAATCAATAACAACAGACTGAACCCCACACCGCAAAAACAGGTATTTGTAGTGAAATAAAGCATGAATTAAATCAAAAGCTGTTACACCACTCAAGCAAGTTATGGCTCAAACCACACAAGAAAACATGCATTTATAATGCCTTTCCTACTGCTTACCCCCTCTATAATATTGATAAAGCCTCACAAGAAAACTAAAATGATACACAGTGCCCCTGTAGGAACCGACGCTCTATGGTCTGAGAAAATAACCCTCATGATGTCATCAGGGATTGTGGGAAAGCCTCCATTACAAATTAGGGCATGGAGTTTGAACGACATGGCTGTGGAAGTCCGGTGAAAGCAGTATTTGTTGCATTATGGGAAATGTAGAGTTTTGGGAGCTTGAGCTAAAAAAAGCTAGATCTACCTACTGCAGTCAAAGCACAATAGGAACATCTGAACATCTGATTTCATCGACCTGGCACACTCTGCTAGAAGAGTAGCAGTTGGGGAACAAACTTGGAAACTGAGGCAAAAGCAAACTTCATCTCATTGAAAATGAAGTAATAAAACTGAAACTGCAATTTCCTCTGACCTGTTGTATCTTATAATATCTGCATCAGGAGTGTCACTGAAATACAACTGGAGGAGTACTGAAATGGGTGTAAAGATAGGCGGGTGCATACTTATACATATTCCATCACTGAATTAAAATAACTGGTTATAGATTTTTAATTTGCATGTCCTGTTGCACAGAGGATATGCAAAAAATGATCTTATAGAAACATAAACAAACAAGGCTGGAAGCAGCTAACAGGAAGTGCTACATATCTCAGACCTTTAACTAGGGATAAACCAATTGTGAATTTTTAAATTATGTCTTTTTTTTTTTTTACATATGCTATTTTTTGTATTTACATCAATTTCATCAATACTATGATAATGTAATGATGTAAAAACCAGTATCCGTGCTTTTAACTTGATGTTTTCATGGCGGCATCACTGCTGCACAGATCTGTGAACGGGGGATTTGCAGTTATAGACACATAAACACATTCACCTGTATGGATGAGATTTTTGACTGCATGGATATGATGCCTGAAAGATTTACTCTACCTCTTATTCTCTTGAATCAGCAAGGTAAAAGTACGTGCATGGCAATAAGAGATGCTACACTACTATTATGCATTAACATTATTCTCTTGTGTGTATGATGAAATATTCCACATGTAAGTATGTTTTTTCTATCCATACCGACAGTTGCACAGAACTATAAGAGACCAAGAGCAGTGTTACACCGGACATACATCCGCTCCTTCTGTAACTTCCTGCTGCCTCACAGAGCGACTCTCAAGAAGGGGGAGGATACACATGACACCGGGAGGAAGAGAGGGAAGCATTCATGGGAAAAAATGAAAACAGAGCATTCTGTTCCCATACTCCCACACTCCCATACACATATCAGATTCATACATACAGAACTGAATCATTATTGTATTATTGTCACCATATACATTCCAGTGATGTAGTTATCAGGAGGAATCAGGCAGAAGCCGTATCTGATCTTGCCTCTTAAGTGTCTCTACATTGTTTATGGAGCTGGTTACAAACATCACTATACAAATGACCCGAGACTCACAGTATCACACAGTGTGTTGCTGCCATGTTCACCACATTTGTGTCAGTAGCCTAATGTGCTAAATCTAGTCAAACTACAACCATGAGAAAATCTGTCCCATTCGTTATGTAACAGACATGTTGAGTCTACAACTCGCTCATGTTGTTGGATGGACTCGGTTTGATGTTATCTCCTGCAGTTTACTGTACATTCCACTTGTGATAGGGCTGTAACTAACACAGCGTGACCTGAATTCCCTACAGAGGGCTCATGTATAAAGGAGCAGTCCACTGATTTTACATGTAAAGGTCATTCATGGAATGTAAAACAGTTGTATAATATGTGGCTCTGGGGCTGAATCTGAGAAAATAACCCTGATTATGAGTCAATCAGTTCAGTTATTTTTTATTTTTTCATTTTTTATTTTTCGAGTTCGGCTTCGACTTCTATTATTTGTCATAAAAACCGGATTATAAACAGGGGGCTTGGAATTTCAAAGATGAGGTCATGAAACAATGGATGTCTAATGAAAAACACTTTTGAGTTGCATTATGCTTTGATTCTGATCATTCTTTAAAATTTTTGTCTCCTCCAAGTCCCACAAATGTATGGAAGCACAAGAGTGTGGAAAACTTTTTGTTTATAGTTAGTGTAAGTTTGATTTTAATATGATTTCTAAATCATCTCAGAGTAATCACTAGAAGTTGTAAGCACATTTTCATGTTAATAAATGTTTTGCTTCTCTTTTGCTGATTATTAGAACACATGGCACCAAAACCCTGTCCTCCAAATACATCTTGATCTGTTTACTTCACAGGAACCTACAGATCTTTTGTTTTTAATATGTTTGAATTAAACACAAGAAAAACAGGGTAGCTCAGCAAGTGGAACTACTGTGAAGTTCAACTATAACACAAAGAAACTATGAATTAAAAAGTCACATATCATCAACACTGAGTCCAAAAAAAATCAATGTTACATGACTAAACTCTTTGACTATGGAGTGGGAGGTAAGGCTACAGCAATAACCTTACACCTGCAGCGACGCTGATGAAAGAAAGAAAACAAATAACGTAAAGGTTTTTGAGGAGTACGTCTTTAAAAAGTTATATGTTGGGTTAATACCAATACTTAAACTTTGAACAAGAACCCCTAAGCTGGACCCCCCTCTTCAGTCTTCACAGTGGCAGAAGTGTAACTATGGGGTGGGGAGAGGAAAGAAAAAAAGGCAGTTAAAGCACTTAGACAACAATAAAGATCATTAAATAACACTGTCAGCCCCAAGAAACCGAACAGTCTTGGAGTAACAATGAATTCCTTGCATTTTTTTGTGACCATGTCAAGTTTGCTTGGCACAGCAGATCGGTGCCAAACTGAAGCCACCATAAAAACAGGAATATAAAAGCATGGATGCTGGTTTTCACATCAAAACACCGCCATTGTTTTGATAAGTTTGATATAAATGCGAACAAAGCATATCTAGAACAGACATCATTAAAAAACAGTACAACCGCTTTTATATAGCACAAAGTATATATATTATAGTGATGAAACTGTCTTAGAAACTGAAGGGAAAACTACAAGTAAGTAAAGAGGGGTCACTTTATTATGGGTCACTGGGTTGTGAGTGTGAGGGCTCCAACTGAGCTGTAATTTCAGGCTTTAGGACCTGGAGGGGGAGGATTCTCCTCACACTGCCACTAAATACCATGGGCGGGCCTGGAAATAAGATTCCAGGGCAGAGATTTTCATGCTCTGAAAACCAGGCATGACAAATCCTGCAGCTGTGTCCTAAACTTCTGTCCTCGACCGTCAGCTACATTAACTTCATATAGAGCAGATCAGTGCTGGAGGATCTATTCGTGAGCAGCTTGAGGACAACCTAAGGAACCCTAATAAGGTAAGATAAAAGCGGTGGGAGTTGGGGGAGGGAGTGTATCCTGAGCAGTGTTCAAATGGTGGGAAATGCCCAGGCATGTGAAAAGAGGCCACAAAGTCAGACCTGATATGTAGTTAAAGCTTCCATTGTAGACTGAAGCAGCCTGAGCCACCCAAGTTGTTGGAGAGGTTTGAAAAGTAAGAAAAAAGTAAATGTAGAAGAAAATGTAAAAGCATGCTGCACACAATCAGAAATGCATGAGTCTTGAAACATTCAACTAAACTTTGGTTCAATTCAATTCAAAATACTTTACTGGTCCCTCAAGGGGCGATTTAAAGCATATGATCTTGCAAACAACAGTGCACAGACAATTCAGGTACACACACATAAACAAAAAAAAAACACACAAAACTTTAGGGAGTTGGCTGCAACTTTGACCTAATTTCATCCGTGACAAAGGACGTCTCTCATTTCCTCTGTCTACGTACTGCACTGATAGTTTTCCCTAAATAAATTAACATTATTGATGATTTGTTCAAACAAAAGCTCTCTGGTACATTAAAACTGCACAAAAGAACATCTTATCATTCATTCATAGATAACTCTCAGGTCCCATGAGACCCATGAGGTCCCATAAAATACCCAAAAAAACAAACAAATTTTCCGTGTTAGTCTTTGGGACATAGGAAAATGTCAAATGCAGTGTCACTTTTCAGATGCTATTTTGATCACATTATCAGCTTTTAATAAATGTATTCATCCTTCAAAAGTACTGTTTAAAACACTATTAAAGACACTGTTAAGAACAATGTAGAAAATAACTGCATGCAGACGTCAGATATCTGTCCATCTCTCTCTGTTGGCTTTGTGGCTTTGTGAGCTTGTACAAACATGTCTAGGAAGCTGCTGGAGAGACAATCTTGATGTATATAATGTTAAGTAGCCTGCTGTTTCCTTAATACATTTATATTAAAAGCCTGTTGCTCAGCCAGACAGATCATTTATCAGTAACCTAACAGTGTTTTATGATGCAAAATATCCTAACTATAACTGTAACTGACCATATGCACATGATCTTGTCTTGCGTTTCTATATACATGGCCTGTGTGTGTGTGTGTCAGCATGTGGTCCCTTCTTCCACATCACAAGGAACCAACCAGCATCAACCAGACAAATACCCCTATAAGAGAATTTATGAAATCTTAGATCTTGTGTTGTCAAGACATGAGTAATTCAGATCTACTTGGCAAATGTTTTGTCTTAGATGCATCTTGTGGCTGCCTACGTGGCTGTTATGTAAGTCTTGCCTTGAGGTTTACTGGGAGAAATCTACCCCTGCTATTATATTAAAACTCCAGAGCAAATACTGAATATACCACAATCTGTGCTTTTTGAGTTGAATAAGATATTTCAGTAAAACAGAACTGAAAAAGAACAAATCCTAACCAAGAAAATTAGTCATCTCACTTCTTAAATCAGTTACAGTGTATCAATGGCAGCATGTCACGTTTGTCCTCACGTCGTCTTATATGTTTTCTCTGATTAGCATTACAACATGTGGGTGACAAACCTGGTAGCCCTGGCCCTCCTGGCCACTTCAGCCTCAGCTGCCACCTCTGCATCAGCAGACAAGGTCCTCAGTAACCATGCTACCATCCTGGCCGACAACAGCGCCAACCTGGCTTTCACACTCTACCAAAACATGGCAAAGGAGAAGAACATAGAAAACATCCTCATTTCCCCTGTCGTGGTGGCCTCCTCTCTGGGTCTGGTAGCCCTTGGGGGAAAGGCCTCCACTGCCTCTCAGGTGAAAACCATTCTGAATGCAGCTAAAGTTAAAGATGAGCAGCTGCACTCTGGTCTGGCAGAGCTGCTGACTGAGGTGAGCGACCCAAAGACCCGCAACGTCACCTGGAAGATCAGCAACCGTCTGTATGGACCCAACTCTGTCAACTTTGTGGACGATTTTGTCAAGAGCAGCAAAAAACACTACAACTGTGACCAGTCCAAGATAAACTTCAAAGATAAGAAGAGCGCTGTGAACTCCATCAATGAGTGGGCAGCCAAGTCCACTGGCGGCAAACTGCCTGAGGTCACCAAGGATGTAGCGAAGACTGATGGGGCGATGATCGTCAATGCTATGTTTTTCAAACGTGAGTCTGCATGAAATCTGTACCTCAGTATATTATTCTTTTAAATGATCTTAAAGTTAATTTTGTTTCGTCACAGCTCACTGGGATGAGCAGTTCCATCATCAGATGGTGGACAACCGTGGATTCATGGTGTCCCGCAGCTACACAGTCTCAGTGCAGATGATGCACCGCACAGGTAGGTGGAGACGAGCCTGTTAATATGTTCAGAAACATATTAACACTTAAGGGAGTAGTTCAACATTTGGAGAAATACACCTATTCGCTTTGTGCCTGAGAGCTACTACTATCTGTACAGAAAATGTAAAAACAACAATTCATAGTTTTACAGTGGTTTATCTGCCAAACTATTTTTTGGCTCAGAGCAGTAACTTAACGGCCTCTGTCCAAAATCACTTACTGTTACTATATAGTAAACTGTATTTATATATTTATTTATTTCGTATGTCCAAATTGTATAGAGAGCCAAACTAAAACTGGAACTTCAGGGTTCTGTTGCAGAAAACCTCATTCAAAATCACACTGACATTTATAAAAACATAAACAAATCCATGTAAAATGACTTCCCTCGATAGATAGTCTTTTGTGCGGTTCACTTCACATGTCTGCATAAGGATTGTAATTATTTTTGATGATCTAATGTTACACCCTAGACCATCGTGGGTCACAAAAAACATCACAGCTGGACAAATTACTGAGAATACCCTCTAATATTTACACAAATGTATATACAGCTGTTCCTGGTCTTGACCGTACCCTGTAAAGTGCACTGAGATGATGGATGTTGTGATTTGGAACAAATAAAATTGAATTTAATTGAATAAATATTCCCATAAATGAGTGTCCATGGTCTCTAGACTCTAGACAATCCTACTCTGCAGTGTGATACACATTCATTCACAAGTGTCCAAAAATAACTGTCTATTATATGGGGATGAATGAGAGAGTGAGAGAGTGAGTGGTTTCAGACATAGCACTGCAGTTTTGAACAAATGAAACAAAGAAGATATAATGTTAATTGGTAGGTGGATTTTGTTATCTTAAAACAGAGCCAGTTTACGGTCAGCTAAGCTAAGCTAAAAGGCTGCTGCTTTTAACCATGAGATATGAGATGGATCATCTCTTCTAACTCTTGATAAGAGAGCGAGTCAGCTTATTTCCCAATATGTTGAACTGTCACTTTTATAGAGTCAAGAGCTGCTTCATAAAAGTCGTACATGCTGGTTTTATGTAGGTGAATATGCAATATGGAATATTATTTGTGATGCATCAAGACAATAAACCTGCCTGCCGTATAGGATGAGGAGAAACCACCTTCTCTGTGATCATGTATAAAACAGAACATCACACACAGGATAATATCTGTAATACCTTTCATTTGTTTCCTCAGGTCTCTATGGCTTCTACGATGACAGCACCAACAAGTTGTCCATCCTGAGCATGCCTCTGGCTCATAAGAAGTCCAGCGTGGTGTTCATCATGCCCTACCATTTGGAACCTCTGGAGAGACTGGAGAAGATACTGACCAAGAAGCAGCTGGATACATGGATGGGCAAGCTGCAGGAAAAAGCAGTGGCTGTGTCTCTGCCCAAAGTCAGCATGGAAGTCAGCCACGACCTGCAGGTAAAAGATACAAGAAATCAAGAGCATGCTGGTTGATTACAATGACTACACCTCAGTCTTTCCCTGTAACACTTTATTTTTCTGCCTCTCTGTAGAAACACCTCGGGGAGCTGGGCCTGACAGAGGCTGTGGACAAATCCAAAGCTGACTTCTCCAAAATTTCCGGGAAAAAGGACCTCTACCTGTCCAGTGTTTTCCATGCCTCCGCCATGGAGTGGGACACTGCTGGAAATGAAATTGACACCAGCATCTTTGGCACTGACAAGCTGAAAAGCCCTAAACTGTTCTACGCTGATCACCCCTTCATCTTCCTCGTGAAGGACCAGAAGACAAACTCCATCCTGTTTATTGGCAGGATGGTCAGACCAAAGGGAGAAAAGATGAGAGATGAACTGTGACCACGTGTTGACTAGAAATGTCTTAGTTAGACGTCTGACTGTGTGTGTGAATGTAGGTTTTCTACTGCAATATGCTGAGAGAAGTGTGAAATTAAATAGATGGTTTGATAAGTGCATTCCTATGTCCCATGTTGACAGCATTCCCCAAATCATAGCAAAGGCACCTATATTTTTATCTTCGAGAATATTTCTCATCACTACATGGCTTTTTTTGTTATGAATTGATCACATTTTGGACTGAGGACTGAAGTATTATTTCCCTGATTAATGCCTAACATGTAAATGCAGTTTGCTTGAATGGAGAAGGGATTTTATCATCAGTATGTGACAACACAAAAACTCTTTGTAAAAGGTGAACAACAGTCTTACTTTTGAAGAGATTTTATGGTACTTGCTGTTTAATTTAACAAAAATATTAGTTTGTCAAGCATTGCTGTGTTTCATTTTAAACTCCATTGGTTTTCACAAATACTTTGTCCATTCATTGCACTTCTCTGTTTGTCTTTAACCAAGAGGCTACAGTGTTGTTCTGCACTGTATTGTAATGCTACACAGATCTGCACTGGCCATCAAATCCAAATGATGGCAGATTTAACAAGGACTGTCTGTAAAACAGCATGTGCACACATAGTTTTAGGCTGTTACAAATTTCCTGTTTTTGCAATAAAAATGTGAAACATGTGTCATCTTAAATTTGGACATTTGGTGCTGGCATTTCCCTTGCATTTGTAAGGACACTGACTTCTTCACCTTGTTTGTCTGTTCGAATGTCTGTTTGCAATAGCAGTTTAGCCCTCGGCAGGTCTTTTGAAGTCAGGCCTCCAGTGGGATTTTCAAGCTGAATAACATGAGCAAATACCAGTGAGGGTGATGTGGGACCTCCTGGGCAGCTCTGTTGTAGCGTGGAATTTTGCAATGGTAAACGCTATATGGTAAATATATCCACCTAATAATAAACTGTAAATATTTAAACCTTAACAAAATATTTGAGCATATCCAGATGTTTGCTGCAGCTGCTCCAATGAGAAAATGACTTGTTAAAAGCCACATCATCAACCTCCACGTGAGTGCTTGCATTAGGTTCACAAAGACACAAAAACAAAAACAGCCAAAAATGAGCAAATGATTAAGTATTTAATAGAAGAAGGTTTAATAATAGAATAGAATAACATAATTACAGGTGGCTTAAAGTGGTGCATCAGTAGACGTGAGTGGATTTTGTATTGTCATTGTTACATCCACTGCTGAGGAAGCTTACATTTTGGGACAGATCTGGATCATTTACTGTGAATTGGAAATTTTTTCTCTGAAGTCTGGTGTGTGTTGTTTCACATTGGCCTTGGCCAAGGGCTGCACCCGCTGAGTGTTCTTCTAGTTTCAGTCTTTGCTTTTTTTTTTTCTTCTTTTTTTTTGAGTGTATCACACCACCTAGAGGACATCTGGACTACTGGCAGAACATGGTTTGGAATTTTATAAGTCAGCAGTCTTTCCTGGAAATTATACCCAGTGTATTTGTTAGGAATGTCTTTATTACCAATAATTCAGGATAATTATAATGTAAGTAATTCCTAGCATTCAGCTTTGAATATTACTGTGTCACCTTCTTAAACCTGGCTACTTCAGAGCAGCAAAACTGCATTTCAGCTTACTTTGACAAAGACTCATAGAAGTTGTAGGTGTTAAATGCTCTTTAATGCTCTAGTTATGCAGTGTGATGCATACAGTCTTATACCTAACCTCACTAAAATGAAGCAAGCAAGTTCACCAACCATCTGCCATGGAGTCAGAGATGCAGGATCATGAAATGCAGGGCAACACTACAGTGCAATCTGAAAGTATTCAGACCCCTTTACTTTTTTTGTTGTGTTGCAGGCTTATGCTAAAATAAAAATCAATCTTAATCCAATATTAATAACAAAGTGAAAACACAATTTTTTGCAAATTTATTAAAAAGTGAAAACTAAAATGTCACATTAACATTAGTATTCAGACTCTTTCCTATGACACTTAAAATTTAGCTCAGGTGCCTCTCATTTCTCTTGGTCAACTTTAAGATGTTTCTACACGTTGATTGGAGTCCACCTGTGGTAAATTCAATTAATTAGACATGATTTGGAAAGACACACTCCTAAGGTCTCGCAGCTCACAACTACTGAATACTGAATGTACTGTAAAGCCATCAGGCATTTTAAAAATTAACTATATCTCCTAATCATTTTTTCTTTTTCTGTTGTTTTAACACCAGTGTGCATTCTGTTCTGTGTGTGTTACTGTATTGTGTGTCTGGACTGTACTCTGATGTCATATGGTTGTGTTCCTCTTTTGCCGGAGCTGCATCATAAGTTTCTGTCAAATTATTGCTGATGTGCAATAAAATACTGAACTGAAACCCTTTTATTATACTTTTATTTATTGGTTGCTAAGGCTTGCTTTACACTCTAATATAAACAGGAAGCAAACTGTTGAGGTTCAGTAACATTATAATATGATCTACATCAAGATAAATCCTAATCCTGATACAGATAAAGGGTGCATTGTGTATGCAGGTGTGTCTTCAACTCATGCTATGTAGTCAGTGCATTAGTGGAATTAACAGAAGAAAGCCTATAATCATAAACAATAATCTATTGAGGGAATTTGTGTCCAAATCCTGTCCAGACCCCACTGACACATCAGACTCACACTGACATCCTTTCTCTATAGAAAGTATTATAGGACACACACAACAGAAAATAGTACAGGAAACAATTGCGTCATATGTTGTTAATGCTGAGCTATTCAGCTATAAATCTGATTTAAATTGCTTTTCAAATTTTGATGTACCCTATAGAATTAAAATAAGTATTGGACCATGAAACATTCAGGCCCCTATGCAAATGTATTTACTGTATATTGAATTTACTTATATGAAATACATGTACATATAGAATAAAAAACAAATGTAAAAATTATATCTAAGACATATGACATATATGTCTAGCCCATTCAAATATGTATGTTTATGTATGTATGCTTATATTGTAGACATATGTAAAAAGCCTGTCAATACATGATGATATTTTATACAGTAGGGGTCCAAAAGTCTGACACCACTTTCCCAGAACGGGGAAATAGACATGTTAATGTTAAAATTAATAATAAATTAATATGAACAAATTATATGAGCACATATCATTTTTATATGTAGCCTACATTGTGTTAATGAACATGCATATAAATGAAATTTATATTGCTTGCAAATATAACATATAAAATATCTATGGTGAATTTTTATATGATGCACCATATAAAAAGTCACCATAGATATTCCTAATACATGTACATATACAAATTTAACAATGGGTATTTCATATATTTTATAAAGTTATAGCTTCATATATCCAGAGGATGTCTACTGTATACGTGATAATAGTATATCACCTTTAAGGTGACATTTGTGGCAACATGACTATTGATATAGGGACATAAACTGTATCTCATATATTATATTTCTGTATGGGGGAGTCATTATAATAACACCTGCTCCTCAGCACAGAAGTGACAGAGCCTGTCTGTGATGTGGAGACTCCAAAGACACACGTTAGAATCGTACATGAATATAAATAATTAGGTTATGTTCTATATGACTAAAACCAGGATATACATAACAGGGTCAGGTGTGCATGTGAAGGTATGACTATGATAATTTTGCTGTCGTGCCACAGAACAGAGTGAAGTTTGATTACTTTAACTATGAAATAATAAAGTATTCTGAAATGTGTCATAAAATATTAGCTAAAGAAATTATCACAATATATATATATATATATATACTATATAATATATATATATATATATATATATATATATTTATATACACATATGATATATGTGTATATATATATTCTGCACTTAGCGTGATGATAAAAGTCTGATAATTACATAACAGCGTTTTGTAGTTTATGCTCCGCAATCTCAGTTCGGTTCTTATATTCCTGGACTTTGTTACCTGCCTCTCCCTGGCGCGTGAGGAGGAGGGCTCTGGGAGCTCGGCCGTGATGACTACAAATCCGTTAGTGGCCACAACCTCCTCCTCTTCCATCATGGCTCCCACGATAGACAGGCAAGGATACTGGGGGCGGCCGACCTCAACGCTGGACTGGTGTGAAGAAAATTATGTCGTCTCTTTTTACATCGCGGAATTCTGTAAGTTAAATATAATGGCACCATTTACGCTAAGAAAAAATGCTGAATTTGGGGGTTGGTTTGAGGGAGGACAGCCATACTGTGTACGTGTAGTCGCCCCTTAATAACGTAAATATGAAGCGTGAGCAGCGGCTGTAATAATAATAATGATGATGTGGATTTGTGTTACCGTGTTTGGCCGAGATGAATTTTCTTTCCCTTAGTTTGAGCAAAATGTTTCCCCATACGGCATTTAACTAACTAACGTTAGAGCTGTAACGAGGAAAAAGAAAGGCTCACGTTACAAAGTCAACCTGTCTGTGTCGAGCTGTTTTGCATATAGCTCTCCCGTAGGCTTTTATTCTGCATGGTGGAGTAAGTGTTTGCTAACGTTGTCAGACACATCATTATTTACCACTCATTTGTGTTTGAAATCGGCTCGGGACCTGGTCTTCAGTGTTTCCCCTTCAACAAGGTGGTTTAGTGTCTCTGAGGCTAAACTTGAAACTTGATAAAACATTTCCTTCATACTTTGGGGCGCCTCACAGCTTGTCTAACGATAAAAACTGGTTGTTCAGGAACCATTATCTTAGATTTTAACAGTTAGAGTCACTAGATGCTGTAATGTTAGCGGGACTTCCAGAAATGACGGGTGTTTTACTGACATGCAGTGACATATTCCTTCAGAAGCTTTTAGCAGAGCTACACTGGACACACATTCCCACTGAAAATAATACTTTAAAGTTCCTCATTATTGCGCAGCCAATTTAAGATCTTAGAAGGGAACTAGGCTGAGTGTTAAGATGATTTGTACTATTAATTGGTAATATAAAACAACTCTGTATTATCTTCTAATGTGTAAAAATTCTATACCTCACAAATTCATTAGAGATTCACTGTATAAACTCTTGGGAGTAAAGTTTCACTAAATCCACCTACCATGTGCTGTTATCATGTCATCCATGATTTTCATTGTACTCAGTGATGCAACAGTTAGTCAAAGGTGAACTTGATCCAAGTGGGCCAGAGTTTAATTAGATTACTGTACTTTTTATCTCCTTTATATTTTGTCCATGCTATGCCCTTCGTAGTGTTATACACATGCACCACATTTTCTTGCCCAATAAAGTGTAAAATCCTTCTGTAAGCCACTAGCTTCGAGTCCATATTGCTGGGCTGCTGTATTCATTAATTCCATTGAAACGTTTTTAAAATTTGGCACTGGTGTGAATGCAGCATATCTAGGATAGTGACAGTTGAAGCTTTTGTTAGACACCACGCTGGCCTAGCTAGATTGTTGTTTTCAGCCACAGAAGAATTGTTTGGCATTTAAACAGTGATTCAGTTTACAATGGTGGGAATGTGGCATTGTTCACGTGAAAAAGAGATACCACTATGACTTTAATCCTCACTTGATGCTTGCTATCTCTCTTTTTAAAACATCAGCCCATGGTGACAGTGGAAGCAGACAGAGTGAGGTTATAAAGTGTCCGTTATACTGGGGGCAGGTGTCTCATCATGTTGTCTGCAGCTGTCATTGAAATGTGAATGCGAAACATTCATGTGCTCTCCACACATTTTAAAATGGTCACTCCAAGGGCTTTCTTTGGCTTGTATCAGACATCCACAGTGAAACGGATGTGTTGTGTTGTTTATGAAAATGCCAGTGAGCAGTATTAGTTTTCAAGGTACTTAACATCCTGGTAAGTCTGATTGTTTTCCACACATGAGTTTGTACATCACCACACCCATAATGAGCAAAGTTAGGATCAGTGTTGAGCTGTTTTATCAGGTTCCCCATGAGCCTGATGATGTACCAACAGTGAGTACATACAGTAACGATGGCCTGGGGGAAGGCGGTTTACAAACACAATCTCTGACACCAGTTCAAACGTAGGCCACTTTTTCAGATAAGGCTTAAATGCTTTGAGGCGAACCTCAAGATAGCTGTTGAAGCTTTATTCATCACCACCCTTCAAGTACTTCTTTTCAGCTGTTTTCAGGTTTGAAACCACAGATCCTGACAACAGTACAAACACAAAATAGTGCAACAATACATGGTAAACCAACCAACCAACGGTTCAAAACCCACAGATATTCAGTTTACTGAAATACAAGAGCAAGGAAAGCAGCTAATTTACACATCTGAGAATCTGGAACTGACACGTTATTAAATTTTATTTTTTTTCAATTAGTCATTTTTCAAAAGAGTTACTGATTAATATTCTGTTAGTTGTGTAAATTATGAATCCATTTATTGCAGGTAAAAAACAATATAAAAATGGTCCATCCATCATTTACTGTCTGCCCACATACCCATTACTTGTACCTGCAAACCAAAACATACAACTGTATTACCAGTATTAGTTAGCATAGTTCAGATGCACAGTACTTCAAGTATTTTAGTGCTGTGATTTCAGTTTTAGTAATACAATAGCAGACGTGTGTGCATGAACTCCCAGTGCAATGATCAGGTTTCTGTAATAAGATACCATTCATGTTGTTGTTATACGTCTAACCGGGGCTGTCTCCTCACTGAACTTTCACTGCCATCATGTCACCCAATCACAGAGCATTTCTTAGCTTTTCAGATATCACACAGCTCATGTCATCTGGCTCTAATTCATCTCTGGTATCTTTTGGAACAGGGAACACTGTCAGCAACCTCATTATGATTCTCCCTCCCATTTGTGGGGCCATCCAGACATTTCGAGACGGCCTCGAGTTTCGCTACGTCTGCTCCTTCCTCGGACTGGCAGGTTAGTCTCTTGAAACTGAAAATTACCTGGATCTACATTTGGGACAATACTAAAGCAAACACTGCTCTTGTTTACATATTATAGTTGCTGTCAACATCCCTTGCAGTTGTACAGTGTTTTCTGCCGATGCCCTTACATGATAATACATACCTGTGAGAATGTCTTAATTTTCAGTGTTAATGTTTTGTGGGGTTGTGTGTCACCCAGCTGTTGGCGTCGGCTCCTGGTGCTTCCACATGACACTGCTATATGAGATGCAGGTGAGCTACAGTGAAATCTGAATACTTTAACATTGGGAATTGTTTTTTTTCTTGCTGAAACTACATGAATCAGACTAATTGTTGTAAATATGTGGTCAAATGTTTGGTGCCAAATGTAACATCATCCTATAGTGATGTATTCATGTGTGTTTCATCTCTATTTCCATTTGCAGCTACTGGACGAGTTGCCTATGATTTACAGTACATGCGTCTTTGTCTACTGTCTGTAAGTGGCCCAACCATTTATTGCTGCTGAACCACTGAGAACAAATTTAGTGTGACTGTGCCTGTGAACTGAACCAGTGAATCCCCTGCCGATCACTTGATCTATTGAGTGTACTGTATTTTAGTGGAACTATTGATTCTGAACTGGATTTCCACTTCATCTCAGCTTGTCATTTGCTCTCTGTTCTTTATGATTGTTCAAACTGAAAATGTAAGATAAACATTTGTTTCTTTTCTCAGATATGAGTGCTTCAAACAGGAGAACAGCCTTAGCTTATTTCCTATTGCAATTTTATTAATCTTCAGCGTCTCAGTCACTGTGGTGAGTATTCACTTTCACTACAATATGATCATTTACTTTGAACCATATTGTAAAGGAAACATTACATCCCTCATGGCCTCTTTAGTAGTTTCTCTATGTATGTTTTGTAGGTATACTTGCAGTGGAAGGAGCCAGTGTTTCACCAGGTAAGGGCGTGCTCTGTGTTATGTCACCTTGCTCATTGTTTGCTATCAGGGCTCAGTGTGTCTTAAGTCATTTTACCTTGTGTAAACATTTGGCTTTCTAACACAGTATGCAATACTTAATTTGCTGCACACTGCTTGTTAAATGTACAGTAAAGTAGCAATTCATATCAAAGCAGATATGCAAAATGCAGCATTTAATGACATTTTATTTTATAGTCAGTTGATGATCAGTTAAGTATTTGTTGAGGTGTATTATTTAAAAAAACACAGATTCTAAGGTCAGTTTCACAGCTACAGCCAGTTTCAAACGAAATATAATCTGGGAAGTCCAGATGGAGGAACGGATTTGTGCATTTAAAAGCTTATTAGATCCAAATCAGAGCACAGTGTTGTGTAATACTCACAGACTGGATTTTACAACTCTGGAAAGTTATCACAGGAACAACCGTGTTATCTTTTGTCGCATGTCGCGGTAAATGGTAAAGTAATGCACTAGGAATGTGCGCTTGCATGTACAGTATGTGACTGGCCAGCACAGGGTCTTTTTGAATTGACGTTATCATGCGTTGCAGATCAGTGCGCTTCCCCATTGAAATGAATGTGGAGGCTTAAGTTTTTTCATGTAGAGCAAATGTCGACACAAAGCTAAGCACTTAAACCTTAACCATGAGATGAAGACATAGGTCAAATTTCCTGCCAAGAAGAAGAATAATCTCATAAAAACTTGAAAGAGAAGTAAAAAAAAAGCTTCTTTTGTACCCAGTGTTTGTCTGTACCTGCTCAGAGTCTCACATTGTGCGTGTTGCTTTACAACAGTACAGACAATGTGACGAAGTTGCCTTTGTTTACCCTTTGGACCTGAGTTTGTTTACTAACCACACTGCTCAATGGCGATTCATAACGAGACTGATACTGTTCCTGGCTTAGTACAGTGAGCCCACAGTTTGGTCCCAGTGACGACTCTCTGTATGAGTGGCTCATGACCTTGTGTGGACATGAGTTGTGTGTAGTTCAACCAAAGAGTGGATTTTCCTTTATATATTATTTCTGAAACACCAATCACATCTCTAGCTTCCCCAAACCAAAAAAATAATGATGTGAAAGTGAGATGACAGTTAAGTCTGATTTTCAGGTAATCTGAAAGGCAAGAAAAAACAAAACTGAAGAAGAGTCAGAAAAATGAAAACATAATTTGTGCTACAGGATTATTATTTTCTTATTCCTTCCTTTATCTGGTGACTGCTCAGATTCATTTTAGGACCCTTTGTGGGGTCCCAGAAAACACTGATGTACTGTAGCAGAATTGAATTTATAGATTTAATTGATATAAAATTTTAAAAAAGGGGGTTAATGGTTCTTTATTAGTTTGATCAGTTTGCAGATGAGTCAGTTCACTGACACAAGAAATGTGTTGACAGTTAAAATCATTTATCCTTTAAAAAGAGTCATAATCTACAGCTCTGGCTGTAAGTTACATTCAAGGAAACAAAAATGTGAGTTGGAAGAACATTTTAGAGACAACTTTGCTTCTGTTGGAAAAGCTGTCAAAGACTATATGAACAGGCTCTATCAGCATTACTCTCAGTGTGCAGCTGAGGCTGCCTGGCTCACTTTGAGCTCTGGTGACTTGATGGAAATTTGTGAATAGTTGTAGAATGTTTTATCTGTCATGTTCCACAAGTTCTTTACTGAAGTGTTTCAAAGCCAAATCACTGCCTCTTCTTTTAGGTCATGTATGGTGCTTTAGTAGCTTGCCTAGTGATGCGATCCATCTTCATTGTTACATGGTAAGTTTTGCAAAAGGACCATTTAAATTGAAATCATTACCATAACAAAAGAGCTGTTGTTCATTAATATTCAACAAAGTAAGAACTTGCTAAAGGATTTTCTTTATTGTTTATGTTTCATCTTTAGGGTGTACCCATGGCTCAGACCGCTGTGTTACACCTCCTTATCTATCTTTATGTTGGGGTTCCTGCTGTGGAACATTGACAACATCTTCTGTGACTCATTAAGGTGAGGACCTGTGGAGGCAAAATAATGAATGTAATGCATGTTTTTCATTGCAAGGTCAGACAAGATCAATGTAATGTCAATTTTTTATTTAAAATGCGTGATGAGTGTTTAGCACCTCTTTTGTCATGTATTTAATTTGTTGGGTCAACGCTTTCTTTGTATCTCAGAGCCAGTAGACAAACACTGCCCCCTGGTGTTGGAGTAGTAACACAGTTCCATGCCTGGTGGCACATCTTCACAGGCCTGGGGTCCTACCTGCACATACTTCTCAGGTAAGCTTCTGCTTCATTCGCAGGAGATTACAGCTGCAGTGAGTTTTGTTGTGGTGAGATATGTTCATGTACATTGAATGTTTGTTTTCTTTTAGCCTTCAGATCAGGTCAACCTACCTCAAGTACAGACCAAAAGTAAAGGTATGTCTTGCTTTTAGCATTTGCACATATTGTAGCTTTCATTTATTGTCATTCATTCTTTTATTCATTTATCATTATTTATTTATTCTGTTCTATCTTAACTTTGCTCAGTTCCTGTGTGGAGTCTGGCCCACATTGCACATTGAACCACAGAAGACAAGCTGAAGTGAAGGGATTGGTACCAGCTGAAGGATGGTGACTGCCATATCCAAACACCATCGGCACAGGGACCCACTGCTGGCACGTCAGCCCACAGGCAGGGGGCAGGTGGACCCCAAGACATCACCCCAGGGAGCCTTTGGCTCTGCACTGTGGGTACAGTATAGCACTGATTCCAGTTTTAAGAAATGGGAGATTTTTTCATCAGTCATAATTTATTAGACTAGCTTTTCTGTAACTTCATTGAAATATAATAATTTTATTTTCTCCTTCATTTCCAACGCAAATATGATATGTAGTCCACTGCAGTGGCAACTGTTGAAGGGATTATGGATATTATCTTGATTGGGGTTTGGGAAAAGGGAAAACAGTGTCATTAATTCAGAATTCACATTAACATATTTATCCTCATATGTTCGGTTCTGTCAAAGTTTAAATCTCCTAAACCTAAAAATATTTAAATAGATCCCTAAACTAAAGTATAACTAAGTATAACTATTGCTTATGTGTAGTTTTACAAGTAGCTGAGGGAGCTGTACTTACAACTCAGTGCTGTCCTATCCCTTTTCAAGGAGTATCATATTGTATTTTATGGGATAGTAACTATCATCTAGAAAGTGAAAGTGGTACTGTGTTATTGTAGCTCAGCTGTCTTTACCACAAGATCCTTATTCATTTGTTTGGCCACAGGCTTCATTTTTCCTTGAAATTTTCCTATCAACATATGGAAAGACTGGAATTATACATTTCTTTTTTGTTGTTGTTGTTGTTGCCAAAGTTCCTCTGGGATTTAAAACAGTCAAGGATTGTGTGAGAAATGTTAATGTTTTACCTCACTGAAAGCAAACAAGAAATCCAGCACCTACATATAATTTTGTTACAAAACATCATTACACTGACTCATAATTGTGTTTAGGACCAGGTTTAACTTTGCCCAGCTACACAGCGCAAGCTGGACCACTATTTACACCTCGGGTCTCTGGACACTTTTACAGTGCTGTCACAGTCGTTAAAGTGATAGTCCACACAAATTTGTAGTCCGTGAAGGACTAGGACTTTAGAGCCACCTTTCAGGCCCACGTGGGTTTTGTATTGGTTTTGTATCAGAATCACAATGACCCTCCTTTAGGGTGTGTTAGACCACTTTGTTTGGATTTTACAAATATCTTGAGGACATGATCAGGCAAACATGCAGAAGCATCACTGGAAATGCTTGGCTTGAGATGGACTTGAGATAGAGTACAATCACACTGACCCGATGACAGTGTGATTGTACTCTATCTCAAGCCATGATCAGTGGTCAGATTATTGCAGCTGATGTGTTCAGCTCGCATAGAGCGCAGTAAGAGTTGAAACCCAGCTAACTAAGCCAGCTAACAAAGATTACCTGCGAAAGAAATACATTTCTGAATCTTAATTGTTAATATTCAGTCAAAGGACCAAGTGAATGAATGGGACATATCTGAATAATTGCATCTTAATAAACTGTAGGGAATCAGGTACTAGACACAGCCAGTTCTGGGTTGCTCTTGTCTCATGCTTCCTTAACATCTGTCATGACAGTAAACACTAATGTTTCCCTTTCTTATGAAAAAAAACCAACGCTTGATTTATGTGAAAAGTATTTAGATTCCCTCTATCTACAGGTACTTAAACCTTCCCCACAATACCACTATTTTATTTATTTCTCTATTATTTATTAGTCTTTGTTTAATTTATTCACACCATGGCATTAAGATGAAGAGTCAAGTGGCACATGCACAATCCTTGTTGTGAAGTTTATGATACAACCACTAGGTGGCAGATATTTCCAGCTTATTTCAGACATTGCCAAGCATGCCATATAGTGCATTGACAAACTACCTACCTACTGTAAAACGTTTAGGCCTCAGTTTTCATGTGGTGTTAAATGAAGGGCTTTTTATTTACAATATTTATTTTGCTACTGTGAACTTGTGGAGTAACTGGTAAACTGGAAGATGCACAACATTATTGTTGTATGGAGATATCTGTATTAGTGTGGCCTCCTTAGCTGCTTTGTCCTGAGACAACACATTAGTTTTTCATTATACACACACGCTGTGTCACTAACTCTGATATGCTTGGGTATAACAGCTGTTTAAACCCAGTGTTACAAACGTTCATAAGCACATAAGTATAACGTATGAAAGATATGTATTAACATTTTTCAAATGTCTGTGTGGAACCTTCAATGTATGTTATCACTGCTCATCAGTAGAGGTGAGCACGTATCAAAGAGGGTGCCTTATTGTTATCCTTGCAGTGTAATCCCAAGTTGCCTTGATGTTTGTGATAAACCATTCAATTTGTCCCTTGTGTTTTTGCATTGAGCCCTTCCGCTGATTATTAGCAGTTAAGGCATCAGGAGGACGAACAATAACAGCTTCTAATGCAAAGTCTGTGCCTGATTCTTTGGCCTTCCATTCATTTCATGTGTCCAACAAATTAGTTACAGGTTGTTCTGATGATGTTAACTGTAGCTCAAAGTGGTAATAATTACATGTTCAGGCCAGAAGAGCAATTGTTTTTGTTGAACTTTGTTCATGTGCCAGTCTTTAATGATGCCCTGTATTGTCAAATAAAAGAAAATGTTTCAGACAGTTTGTGTGTTTCCTCTCGTTGAAGCCATAGACTGCATTTCACTTCAAATTACAGATTAATGGAATTTGAGTTTGACACTGAAAACTACAGTGTCAACAACCGCTGAAATAGTAATATATGACTCATGAATCGCTTTTATGCAGTTTTGTGCATCTCATAGTGGATGATGTTATGTTGTTAGGGGTTTGAATTGACTCGTACACCTTGAAGGTGTGGCAATCAGTTACTGGCAGTGTCACAAGCACAGCTCACTGCAGACACTGGCATGGTTCCATTACTCTGACTCTATGTGGATAAGGATAGTTTTCTGGCGCAAATGTCACTACTGGCACATTATTGTGCAACCCACTCAACAAACAGTGCAACCCACTCATTGCAGAGGTTGAGGAAACTGGCAGCACTTTGAGGAAGTGCTGTTTTAATGCTTTTGATCCTCTCCTTTCTGCTGTTCTTTCTTATCATAATAGTCACCCCTTTTTTGTTTTTTCATGTCTGAATGAAATGCCTAAATTGTAAGTGCCAGCATATTTACTTTTTACTAAATAAAGCTTGTGGTGCACCTGTGGTAAGTGCTTAATCTGTAACACACAGCCACAGTTTGTTCACAGAGTCCACCTTCTGCTCAAGGAATGAGCAGTGAACATACATGTGACGGGGTAGGGCCCCACATTACATCCCTTTGTTTTTAGTATATTTTAAATGGGAAAACTTAAAGGGTTTTTATTGGATAAAGTGATATTTCCATGTCTTTTTTGATTATAAAGCAGGTCTAGGTTCTATATTAATACTGTGAAAATATCAAAGTGCTCAGTCCACAGACAAATTCACACAACCTGTATTCAGAAACTGAGCCCTAAAACGAGCCATCAGGAATTCCTTCACTTCGTCACAACTATAGTCACTGTCCTCAGCTAAGCCCCCCAGCAAGGCCCACCGGGCCCCACCATCCAGCCTTGCAGGATTTGGTTTCTCAGAGTTTTTACCTGAAATATGCTATATTTTTTTTCGATCACTCAGAAAACAGTCAGATCGAGATGGTTTTTGGTACTTAACTTAAACTAATTAATCTTCTTATGGATATCAAAACTTAAAACAAAGCAAAGGTGTAAAATATGGGACTTTTAAGCTTTTTTCTGTGAGGTGGTCAGGATTTGGATATTTAGTATCGTACCTTATTTCAATGATGCACAGTGTATCATCAACAGTTGCTTCTGTGTAGAGAGCAGAATACAGTCCAGCACTGCAGTGGTTGTTACAGAAGGACATTTTCATGAGAATAAAAGATTATCTTCATCTTGCTTTCAGTACACTTCAGAATCTCTCAAACTAAAACTTTTTCTGAATGCGTCTCACAGTTAACACAAACTGCTATAAAGCAGTTTAACATTTATGAAATTTAAAATGCAAATGACAGTAAAAATTTGGATATTTCAACAAAACAGTATCCCTTTGTATTACATAAATATTTCTGAGGAAAATGCAGGAAGTGCAAACATTGTACAAAAAACCTTGTTCTTTGTACAGAAGCCTGATAAGATAACAAAAAGAACTTCTGCGCAGTGCAGGATTTTGTTAACATTAGATTGACTGTTGACTTTAAACATGTTACTAAACATGTACATAAAAGCAAGGATCAATTCCATTAAGCCAACAATGTTGACATATTAAATAATACAACATAAAACTATTAATCACACCCATAGGACATGTGGGTATCAAAACATTTGAAATGATCTGAATCTTATCTTCTTAGGGATGTTTTCACTTATCTGGAAAGCAAGCCTTAGCCAGTTTGCCACGTTGACAGCGGCTTGTGAGTCAATGTTGGTGTATGTGTGAAGATATATCTTCTCTTTGCTCTAGTGTTTCAAGTGTTTCAACACATTTTGACGAGACCAGACTCAATAGCTTTTAAAGTCAATCATTCCCAATGATAAGCTACTGCAAACTGGTGTTTCTTTGCAGGTGATACTGTTCTGCTCCTCTGCACTTTTTTTAATCACACATAGAGCAGACCTTATAACCTCGTGGATTTATAACATAGAGCTTTTTATGTGTTCCTGGATAAGCAGGGCGTCACTTCTACTGCAACGATGACATTAAAAGGACCAGGACGCCTTGTGTGATGATCTGCTTGAAAATGTTTTTTTTCCTGTGTGTGTGTGTGTGTGTGTGTGTGTGTGTGTGTGTGTGTGTGTGTGTGTGTGTGTATTGTGTGTCAATGAGGTGTTATATTGTCAACATCCCTCTAAGGAATGCCAAACAGTTCAAATACATCCGTTTAGTAATGCGTATACAACATGTCAATTAACATGTTGTTAACGTTGTTAACAATACACACAAAAGTAGAAGTAATGAGGAGTATAACGCTAATTTTAATCGACCAAATCACAGAGCAAAGTGCGCAAAGCCACCAAGTTATTTTCAGCACGTGCAGCAAGATGGGGGCAAGCATTAACTTCAGAAGCTACCTGACAGATAATCCCTCACAGTGTAACATGTAGATTGACAAGAGCACCTTTTCCTGCCTCTCGACTAAATTCAAGTCAAACTGCTGATGACAAGAAAGACGGATTAACACCAGCTCTAGTGTTGAATGAACACCTAAATATTACTCCCCCAAAGAAAGAACACCAACACTAATATGAATGACAAAAAAACCCTCCAAAAATCTAACTCCCCCACACTTTTTGTCTCAATCTAGATTATTGAACTCCAGAAATTTGCTGTGTATTATTTGGCTGCAATTATCCTTGACAGTCAGGGTCTTGACGTCTTTTTGACAACATTCATAGGCCACACCACATACCTCTCTGGTCATCAGAAAACAATGTTATGAAAGGGCGGTTGATGCTGAGTGTTATATAAGTGCTGTTATGTTCTTGTCAGTTGTCAACGCAAACATCTTGTCACTGTCAAGTCATTATCAACAGGATCTTGGTATTTGGTATGCTATAAAAACATGGCTGTCATTGACCCTGATTGTGTTATTTTGCTGTACACACATCAATCAGACTTTGCATTAATACCATAGTACGCGCGCACACACACACACACACATACACACACACACTCTCGATCAGAGTATGTAGCAGAGGGAGGTATCCTGAACTGTCATTACCTGAAACACAGAGCTCTGGCTCAAACCTTTCAGTTTCTTTTTTGCAAAAACACACATACATCCCCTGCCACAGCTGTATTTTCAATAGTGAAAATATGACTCCAATAGTGTGTTGAGAGAAGGAGGAAGACACCACTTAAATGTGTTGACCAATCTGTAAAAATCCCCTTCCTCCCGCAGTTGGCTGCACATACATGTCTGTTTTTATTTCCAATGTTACAACAGTAATGGAACAGTTAGGATTTTATTATTTGGTGATACAAACCTGTTCCTCACTGTGGTTTTACGTGACTTATTAATTCCTCCTTATGTTGACAAAGGGAGAAAATGGCAAATGGTTAACTGGTGTTACAAGTTCAAAGAAAGGATTTTCATTTTAAGATCAGTGTAATGTAATATGAACCATGGTGTACACATACTGGAAAAACATCACACAGTATCTGGAAGAGAAAAGTATAAATCATTACCCACGCTGCAAAACACCATTGCTTCATTCATATAATGCTACAGGTTGTAAAGGAAACATCAAATCCAGTCTTGGCCTGCAGGCACAGCAACTGTGAGTCAGTTTCAAGCTGAGTGAAGTGTTGTCTTTATGAGCGTCATTAGCAGGGTTTTCCCATGCATTGCTCCAACTTCCTTTGACGCAGGATTGTTGTGTCTGAGATATGATTAGATTTGTATTCAGTCACTGAGGTTGCAGTCCTGACTCGGGTGTGTATACCAGCTGTAAAATAGACCGAGTCTGGCTGATGCCTCCTCAGTGCAGAGATGACTCATGCTGGTTATGCCCAAGTTGCTGAAGAGGCTGATCGGCTGAGTGAAAGCACCTGCTGAAAGGCTGCTGGTTCTGATGTTACAGCTGAAACACTTTTTTGGACTACTTTTAAGTAGTTGTTTGTTCTTTAAATTTTAGTGCACAGTTTTTTGAGGTAGAATGGGTATCCATTGTTCAGTGTATTTCACTTAAATGTGCCTGTACATAAATATTCATTTGTTTTCTCTTTTCAAAATGCACTTTAGGTTCCAACTTTAGATTTTGTTTTTACAGTACGGAACGTTATAGTTTTAGTTAAGTTCCTGCCTGCTTAGATTGTCTTTCACTAATGCAGGTTTTTAAAGGAGTTGGGATTTTGTTGCACATCATCCTGAAGTGATGATGGTCAACTCACTTCAATGGTTCACTTCAAACTGTTTTCTATTAAGAAAACTTGATTAAAGAACTGCACCAGACTTTTAGCAGTTCACACATAAAGCACATTTCTTCCTTAACTCTAAATGAAAACTGAAAAACATTAACAAGACTTCATCTGCAGTCATCTGCATTGAGCTAATTGCTAACATATTTAGCATATTTAACAGGTATAAAGTTGACCATGTTTACCATCTCGGTTTGTCATGTTAGCATGCTAATATTTGCTAAATAGCACACACAAAGTACAGCTGAAGCTGATGGACATGCCATTAGTTTTGCAGGATTTTGGTGATAAACCAAATACTAATTGGACAAATTATTTTTTTGTTGTTGTGTAGTTAAACACACAAATGTCTGTTCTGAATAGTTAAATAGGTAAGAGGATAACGGGATAAGTAAACTTTAGTTGCCATTTTTAAGTTGGAAAAACTNAGCAGGATTTTGGTGATAAATCAAATACTAATTGGACAAATTAATTTTTTGCTGTTGTGTAGTTAAAGGTGAAGTGAAAAATTGTTAAAAAAAATGTATAAAGCCTATTGTGGTTCCAGAGGGAGCTGAAAAAATTAACAGGGCACAAATGTCTGTACTGAATAGTTAAATAGGTAAGAGGATAAGGGAATAAGTAAACTTTAGTTGCCATTTTTAAGTTGGAAAAACTTCATGAAATGAAGTAAATATAACTAAATTGTATTGAATATTTAGAATAGAAGGTTGCTAATCACATTTCTGTGAATTAACAGTGTTTGTTTTGGTTGATCAGCCCTGATTTTGGAGTTGCCAGACCAGCAGTCATGGATCTCTTCTATGCTCATCTTCAAGGTTAGACTACGTATTCCATCCTGTCGGCTGTCTACTACGGTGGCTGACAAACACATACCAAAATACAGAACAAATACAACAACGGGAACGTGTTGCAGACAGTTCAGTAAAAGAAAAGACTATAATTAATTTACAGCTGTGGGCTATAATTCTATCTAGGTTTTTAACTGTAAATGATCCACCACCATAAAATAACACTAAACAGTTCAAATATGCAAATCCACTGCATCATGTTCCAACTGTACCAATATGTTACATGTTACTGCAACTATGGTACTGAACAAATAAAAGATGAAACAAAAACGTTATTATACTAATATTATTTATTAGTTTTAGTCAACAGCCTAACACAGTCATGGTGTTCTTTCTAGCAGGGAAATCAAACATTGTTCAGAAGGTTGGTCCCAACACTGTTGCAGAAGGTCCCACTAATGTGTTGCACTTGCAGGTTGCTTTGTTTTCATCTTCTGTCCAGTTCATCCCAAACCAGCCCCACGTCGTTTCAGTCTGGAGACTGTGCTGGTCTTATATCATGTGAAGTCTCAGCCTGGTTGTTTTCATGTCTTCTCCAACAGACGGCTGACAGATTAAAGGAAACATCGGAAAAATACGTGAAGAAAAAATGGGAAAGATGGATAAGGTACATAACACCTGTATGCCCATCATTTGTAAAATGTCTATTTTTTTCATCAAATGCCCTCTTTCTCTTGTACACCCTATTTTATAAGAGGTTTTGAGTATCAGGCAGGTAGACCCAAACCTTTTGGGTTGTGTGTACTAGGTGTTTTTTTTGTATTTATGTTTTTGCATTTAATCTAATTTTCTTTTTCTTCTTGTTGGATGCCTATAATTTAATTTACTTCACTGGTCCTAAATTAGTTTTGTTCACAGCTGAGTCTCATAGAAGGCTTTAAATGGATCAGGAAGTAATACAATAAAAAAAGAATTAAAAAAAAAAAAAAAATTCACTTGTCCCTCAGGGGTTGTTTTCATGGATGAAAAAAAAAGTAGACTTTTTTTTTTTTTCACTTGCCTCTCAGGGGTTGTTTTCACAGATGAACAAAAGACTCAGAAATTCTTTTGTGTGTGAAATGAAAGGAGTTGTTTTTCAGCAAAGTAGACAGTTACGTAGATCCCAACATAGGATTATCCCTGGCAGAATCATCCGAAGGAATTCTTCCTTCGAATTCTGAATTAGCATATTCATACTGTCTTTGTCATCTGTCATCTGCAGCCTATAGCAACTCTGCAGTTCGCATGAACCCTGGATGAGATATGGTCCATAGCTTTTATCTCTAAATCTGATCAAAACTCTTTCTTGGAATTTTGGGCAGGTTATGACTGATTTGCTACTCTGTGACGCTGTATAAATATGGGTCTTATGTCACTTGGACACAACATTAAAAAAGACCCTATTTATGCACTGAGCCCCCTTGCTGTTCTTGTTGGGACAGGAGCAGCCACTCATAATTAACAGGTGGTCACCGCAGCTTTGCACACAGCCCTGTGTATCTACAGCTCTCAAAGACAGTCTGACTGACTGGGACTCCAGACCTGACGAACATGAAGATGTTCTGGCTCATTCGTCTGACTCTTCTGGTGCCCGGCCAAACTCTCGTCATGAGCTTGCCTCTCCGAAACCCAGACCTGCACACACCACCCCATGCTGGTTCATCTGAAGCTGACCAGGAGTTTGCAAAGGTATTTATCACTTTATACATGGCATGTGATGTAAAAAAGTTTGAAAGACCAGCTGCTGGATTTACAGGTCTCTGTGCTCGGATTGTGTTGTTGTATTTATGGGAGATTTGCTCTGGACAGCTTTATAGACCCAATACCTCGGCGTGAGTGGAGCCCTGCTCAGGTAGTGATTTGTTAGGTCAACTAAGTTTCCCTAAAAGCTTCATTAATGACCTCATTGTTGACCCACTGATAGGATCTGAGTTTTAGCTTCCAGAAAAATACTGTATATGGCTCCAGGAATCTTTTTCCACAAGTCCACGAATTTATGGCAACATAAAATTGCTTGTAGAATTGCTGCTGTGGGGATATACTTCAGCATATATGTAAACTATCAGTTACACAGACAAACATTTCTCTTGACATGTAACTGATTTTCTTTTATATTGGCATTTTTTTTCTCATGATAGTGACTGACGAAAGCCATAGTATTCCTATTATTTTTTCCACCACTACATTATAAAAAAGTTATGTTCAAGTTAAATGACTTGGATTTGATGAGAGTTGTAAACACATTGGAAAACATTCCAATGCACAGGTTCAAATCAGCTACCTGCTTGACATTTCTGCCATTTCAAAGCCAGCCTTGTCTTGTGGTAAGCCACACACACAGAGTCAGTGTTAATTACAACATTTACCAAGTAAAATATATTTTATTAATATCAGTCCTGTCATTATGTCAGCTTGACGATGGAGAGAAAGTTAACTTAAATACCTTCTGATAAATCATGATGTTGACTTTATTAACTGAGATCACGCATTTTTATCTTTATGTTCTCTATGTTCAGTAAGATGTTAAATAATATTTTCTGTAAATTTTGTGTGGCTCCACACTTCCAGGACAAACATTTTGGTCACTGAGTCTAATCTCTTATAAGTCTGGGTATTGAAACTTAATACATTATGAATACTGACTGAATATGTCTGCAGCATGAAGTGTCGGAAATGTCAAAAGTTGGTAGTAAATGCTTGTTGATACTTCTTAGTCTTCTGTAGTCTTTTTATGTATTGTTTGATCAATTAGTTCCTTTATTAAAAAATAGAAAACTTCTTCAACTTAAGAGTATATTTTATTCAGGTAAAGATTTTTTTTAAATCTGATATTTATTTTATGTTTTTATAAAAAAAGGTCAAATGTGTTAATATTTCTAAAATATATCAAATCTACAGTGTCTCAAATATATCATATAGGCCTCACTATCAGTCCCCAGTGCAAGTTCTTTGATAAGTTATTATTTGTTGGCCCAAAAGTAGTCAAATTGCATTAATATATTTTGTGAACATATACTGGAATCAGCTTTAAACTGAAGGATTTATCAGTGGACGGCCATCAGAATCCTTAGATGGACTATTAACAATAATACTTAGAAAAAATATCAGCACAAATCTCTGATTGTATTACACTTTCTTTCACTTGGGCTCACGTACAAAATCTGTCTGGAACAATCAGTGCTCACGTTACAGAGGTGCTGGAGTAAAAAGAAAAAGCAAAGAACATCTGGCCTTGAAGATTATTATACAAATGTTTGCAGAGCTGCAGGCTACAGAGTCTTTAGACTTTGTGTGACTGTTGCCGGCACCTAAAATTACATGGTTATTTTCTGCAGCATACTGTTATTAAAGGTTTGAGAAAATGTTTGGAATGTTTACTGTAAAGATTGAAGCCATTTCATGAATGGCTGAACATTTGTGTTACTCCTCAACTGACGTGACATTGTTGGAAAATAAGGAGTTTACCTTCTACAAATTGTTTTCAAGCTGCGTGTGGCAGCATCTGGCTTTTTTTTTTTCCATCAGATCTCAGCAAACGTGTGTCACCTTTCAGTTGACTGTAGTAACGCACCATTTTGCGCACTGACTGAATTATCATCTTCAGGAATATCTACAGCACTTCTACGGCTACCAGCCCAAGTCAGAGAGACAGAAGAGGAATGCAGACACGGCTGGAGATGCTGACTGGGAGACCGGACTCTGTGATAAACTGCAAGGCATGCAGCGCTTCTTTGGTTTACCGCCAAGTGGAGAGCTGACCGAAGAGACTGTGGCGGTTATGAAGAGGCCGCGATGTGGTCTGTCAGATGTGGAACGATTTGGTAACAGAATTCGCTGGAAGAGGAGCACCCTCAGCTACAGGTTAGAAAATGATCAGAAAGCAGTGCGGTGAATTGGGGCTGATTTTCTACTGAGATGCAAGCACATCCCATCACTGCTAGGGCGGCACTGAGAGCTGCAACTTAAGAAAACACAGGCAAACAGACAAAAGAAAAACAAATTCAGAAAACAATTTCAAAATTAACATCTAATGCAGGTAATGTACCGACTATGCATGACTACCTCACACAACCCACGTCAAAACACCCAAACTATGCCTTTCACTTAAAAAGGAACAAAGTATTGAACAACACTGCTGTGGAAGAAAAGTTTTTTTTTGCTTAGGAAAGTTCAAACTGAGTGAAATGACCCGGAAGTTTCTAAGCGGCAGCCATGATAAGAGCTGGTCCCATTCTCTAAATGATAAGGAAAGGTGATTCAGTGCTTCCCATCTTATCTCCTTTAGCGTAGGAAACACTGGGCCTTCTTTTACAAAAGGAAAGGAGAAATGCCCAAATGAGAAATGTCCCACAATTCCTTGTAGCAGTAACATTTAAAGAGACGCACCATTGTTGTTTCAACCCGTCAGACCAACATAAATGTAGAAAACATCAGAGCACCTGTTTTATGTTTGTGACAGGATCCAACACTAATGGAAATCCTTGTTTGACTGAAGCCCAATTCCATGAATATAGACTAGATTTCTTCTCATTCAAATCTGACCAGTCAGGAGTCAACATGAAGAACAAGCATATTGAATTTATAGTTAACAATATCATCATCATAATAAAATCCTATAGCCTATAAAATTAATTTCACTATATCTATTCCCTCCTATTGTGAAATTCATAATGAATAATGGCTAAAAATGAATTTCCCCTATTAGCAAATATATAGAAATGTCATAAGCACGTCATTTTGATCCCTTGCTCAGTTCCTTATTTCTATTTAAGTATTATTTAATGGCTGAACTTTTCTATCTGTATAGTCAAAACATCCACAAAGTTTGTTTTACCGGTCTCTTCACTCTCTGTCTAGGCCTCTTTACCAGTCTGACTTTGTAGTCTCCACCACTGGAAAGCCTTACCAATGTTAACGCAGCCTGATCACTGCTCTTCTTCTTCAATTTTTGTTCTTCTTACCTTCTCCTCTTTTGCTGTTCCTCTGATATCTCCATCTTGAGGATGCAATTATCTTGAGGATGACATTCTGCTGTCACGCTGCCACTGCTTGAAATTTCTTCACTATCTTTCTTTCCACCGTTAATTAGTACAATTCTGTATTTGTTCCTCAGGATAGCTGGCTCCAACCTCCCCAAATCAGCCTCAAATGTTCACAAAGTCATCAGGGCGGCATGGAAACTCTGGTCCAGTGTCGCGGCTGTTAAATTTCGCAAGCGGAGCAGGAAAGAGGCTGACATTGTCATCTCCTTCTATAATGGCGGTGAGGTCTATAAAGATCTCCTCAGTCAAATAGTATTGCACAGAAGTCCTGTCTCTGACATGTGGCATAAAGGATTTACTGAGTGGAATGGTTAACTGTGCTGTTTCTTGCAGACCATAAGGATGGCGCACCTTTTGATGGCACAGGCGGAATCCTGGCTCATGCCTTTATGCCTGGGGCTGGTATTGGCGGAGATGTGCACTTTGATGCTGATGAAGACTGGAGCTTTAATACTACTGGTACTACAATAAAAAAAAAACCTCTAATTCTCTTCAATACAAACATGTAGGCTCCATGGTAGGTGTATGAAAAACCTGCAGGAAACAGGGTTAGTGTAATTTTGGTGCTAGCTAAAAGAACAGTTTAACATTGGAAACAGCTCTAAAGCTCACTAAACACAGTATCTTTACCTACATGTCTTTTTTTCTTAAAATCATACAACCCATATAAATACTGAAGTATAAAAATGACCAGTTGCAGTTTTACAGGGGTTATATGGGGGTTATATATATAAATGTTAAGATTTGACATATACTGTGCATGATATTTTGTTTGGGAAACCAAATGTGAACAACAAACTAACCACACCTGGAGTGACCACAAATCCTTACACTACATTTATGTTTACATCTATCTAATTGTTTTGTGCAGCTTAACCTTAACCTCCCATGGCTTGTGTTCCTGCTCAAGGTTTCAACCTATTTGCTGTGGCAGTCCATGAATTTGGCCATGCACTTGGCCTGCCCCACTCATCTGACCCGGGAGCCATCATGTACCCAGTATACAACTTTGCCCCCACTTATGACCTGCAGCTCTCTTTTCGCGACGTCAAAGATGTCCAACACCTGTATGGTGAGTTGAGCTGGATTCAAAAGATGGGGCATTATTTCAATGACTGGTTTCAGAGAGGTTGCTGATTCGTTTCTAAAGCAGATGAATAGAAATGAAAAACATGCTAACCCTGTGATTGCATTGTGAGATAGACTGTATAAGCTGCTTGGTTCAAAATAACCTCAGCTTTGATCTCAAACAAAAATGTATTCACATTTTTCAATGTACACATGTATATTGGATAGTTTTTGCATGTAAAATATTGAAACATCACTTCAGTACCACTGAACATGAACTTGAACGTATGTGAGTAATTACACAGTCATTTGTTGCAGATAACGTTTGTTTGTTCACATACCAGTAGTGTGGGAAACCAGTGCCAAACAGCTTCAAACCACAGCATCCTCTTTTTAATGTTTCAACACAATACTACTGAAATTTGTTCAGTGACAGTGAAGTCATTATTTATATTGCCAGCATCAGAGATTTATTTTGAAATCAAAATTCTCAGTCTACATGAGTATGTCAGATTTTGACTAATTTTTTGCATTTCAGTTGATGTCAGGTTGAAAGGTTTCTTGTTATCTAAAAAATATATATATATATAGCTGTAGTATGAAATAAATGCGTGTTGGTTAAATCACATCAACATATATGCAGTTTATTACATTAGACATTCAGTTTTGCATGTTACGTGCAGGCTGATAAAACAGCTGACGAAAGCAGCTCATTAGGAAGAATGAAATCTGTTGGCAGAAAGCATCAAAATAGAAGAGTCTCATAGGTTTCTGTCAAAGTTGTGCAATAATAAATTTGATAAGAGCATAACACAAACAGCACAGAAATGCCCAGTAAATTACACTACACTTGCATTCGTCTGCAACTTTTATTGACTTATTTACTTGCCTGCAGGTATCAGTCCCAGTTTTGCTTCACTATTCTCAAAAAAGCCTCCTCCAAGAACACCTGACAAATGTGATCCAGATTTGTCTTTTGATGCTGTATCAGAATTACAACAGGAGGTCGTTTTTTTCAAAGACAGGTATGAAAACTTTCACAGTATGCCTACATAATGTAGGGGGACAGGCAGACTTGATTCTTACCCGGTGTCACCTTGGTCCAGTAATATTGGAAGAAACAATTATTCAAATGATGTTTGAGATAACTTTCTGCCTTTTCAGATTTATGTGGCGCAGACATCCTCAGTTTGATGAAACTGGAATCACTCTGATAAGCAGTCTGTGGCCAGACACGGTACCTCCTTACTTAGATGCTGTCTATGAGAATGTGGAGAGGAATGTAATTGTGTTTTTCAAAGGTAAAATTAAATGATATCCCAAAAGACCATCATGAGTTGCGCAGTATATGCACTTAAATTGAATTTATAATGAAAAAGCAGATATACCTGAATGGGTAGTGCATATGAAATGTGTGACGGTAGTGTTTTTGTTTCAGGTAATCAGCACTGGGTGCTGAGGCAGCTAAAACTTGAGGAGGGTTATCCTAGAAACATCTCAGACTTGGGCTTCCCCTCCAGAATAAAATCTGTAGATGCTGCTCTTCATTTCCGAATTGAACGCTACACTGTGTTCTTCACTGGCCATGAGTGTTGGAAGTATGTAAGATCCTACAGTTTCCCCCTTGGTTCCAGTTTTTATGTTAAGCTAAGCTAACCACCCATGGTGTAGGTTTCATTTGAATACTATTTTGAGAATCAAACATTTTTCTGGTGAATGTTCATGCAGTTTGTGCATCATATTATGGTGGAAATGTCTTACACCCAATATTCAGGCACCAGGTGACAAGACTGAATAACTTCAATCGTAGTGACATTATGTGTATGGATAGCAGGGAGATGTATGATTTAATATAATGGGTTCTTGAGAATAAAATGCATTTCCCCCTCAGGAGATGTCTGAAGAATGTTAGGGCAGAATGTAGACATGACTTCTTTTGAAGAAGACCTAAAATGTATATAAGATTGTATCATCTACATAGAAAAATCAATATAAATCTGTGGCGTTCTGTGACTTTCACAGACAGGCAAGCAGAGTCAAACAACCAACTACAGAACCCTGTACAGATGTAAGGCGAGATATCGCTTCCACTTGGGAATTGTTCTACTTGATGTCTATTTTCAGCCTATATAACTGTTATAAAAATCGATATATAGTTCTGTGTTAGAGTATTACTATTGCTTTTACAGATAAGAAATAATAAAGGACCAAGAACAGATCCCTGGGGTACCCCCAATAATTGCAACATGGCAGGATGATCTGAGACCATCAGTGGAGATTGTCTGTGTTCCACCAGACAAATGATAGAATCAAGACAGAGCCTTTTGTTCAGTCAAGTGGAATGGAGCACTGTATGCATCTGCATTGCTTTCTGGCTCTGTTGCAGCTATATTCTAGGTCTATAGCATAAAATAAGCTTTTAAATTAATATACATTCCTTTGTTTATTGACAATAAACATTTAATATTTAATTATTGATTAACAGTTAGTAGAGCAAAATACTTCTTAATCTTGTTCCTGAAGGAATACCACTATTTTTCTCTTGCTAAGATACACTATTCAGAAAGTACAAATGCCAACTGTAAACATGGCAGCATGCTGTTTTCTGCAATCAAACCACAGAAGTACAGATACAGGTGTATTTTATAACTTGTAAAACATGAAAAATCTTTGCGAAAGACAATTTGAAGATGTTCTGCTTCTGAAATGCTTTCAGTGGACACTGGAACCATGATGACTGCATCCATTGAACTGGAAATCGAGAAATAGGGCAGCATAGTGATGTTTCCTGTTCAGAGAATGTATGATATTATTTAATACAAGTGCAGTGCTGCATTATACATTTAAACCAGCAAATACCTTAAATATTCCAGAACTGGTGATGTGCCTGAGGAGAAAAAGCTCCTCTATCAAACAGAAAAAAATAGACTTTTCCAAAAAGCCCACCATTAAAATTAAGCTGAAATTAATCCATTTATTATGAGGCGCACATATTCTAATGAAGTTCATGTACTTAATGGTGCATTAACCATAACCATAATGCCACAGTTCTTTAATGCTCTTGAAATATTCTCATATTGCTATGCATTAGCTCCATAACTATGTTGCCGTGTATACAGTAAACAGAGACCAGACCAGGCCAGACTACTTCCTTCTTAGGTTTTGATGTAATTAAAGCTTGTAAATTTCCTGTTTGACTTAACTAGAATTGTTTGCTGTCGCTGAGTTGGCTATGTCACATACATTGTGGGTTTAAAGTGCCAGCAGGACAAACACAGAGACAAAGTTCTACCCTGTTTTCTTTGTGTATCATACCTAGGTACAATGAGCAGCAGAAGATGATGGAGGGATCACCGACACTCATAGAGAAGCTGTGGCCCGGGATTCCAGCTCCCATAGATGCAGCGGTCTTTTATGAGGGTAGTTACATAACCTTCCTTTTCTGTCTTCAGTTTTTTTTTTAAAAGTTGCATTTCAACAATACACTCTCATTAAATGAAATGGGAACAAAAGAATATACAGTATATTTCTCACTGACACTGGGTGGTTTTCTACTACGTTACTTTTTGGCACAAAAAAATAGAAGAAAATCGAGGTTAAATATGGTGAGTTCCTGTCCAGTAAACAAAAAACCTTACTTTGAACACTGATGTTCAAAAAATTCCACACATAGCATTATGTATTTGATACATTTGATTCATATATAGCAATGATGAATCTTGATGCCCAACAGGATTTGTGCACTTCTTCAAGGGAAATATCCACTACAAATATGACTCAAACTTCAAACATGTGGTCTCCACCAGCCCTGCTAACGACCTGCTGGAATGCAAGATGGACAACAATGAAATACTGACAGAGAAAAGATAAGTGAAGGAAGGCAGTTCATGTAGCTTGATGACAATGATGCTGTGTATCTACTCTATGTGCATACAGTAGAAAAAGTGTGATAAAACTGTATATTCAGCAATAACCACAATGTACCTAATAGGCCAACTAATGACTAATGTAGGGAAGTGGTTGAAAGTGTTACCTCAGTGTGTTATGCAATTTTGGATTAATGGCATGTGTACATTGTATCAAAATGTTTTGTTGTGTTTGATTTGAAATATGAATTTACATGTTTTGAAATATATGTGCTTTGCTCAAATATTGCTGCTAGATGTTTTCTTTAATGATAACAACACTTTTTCTAAAGATATTCTTTTTCATCACTTGCTTTTTTCATATTACAACACATTTATTCTGTCTGTGTTTCTGCATTTACAGGTGTTGCTAATTTACCTGAGGCAGTACATTACACACCACATCATTACTCACTGTCCAATATTGGGTAACACTGACCAAAATGTAGCTTTCCATTACTATTAATGTATAATGAGGTGATGGAATATTACAGACATTAACCACCTGCAGTTGACTCACAAACAAATGATAGACTGTTTTTTTCATCAAGTGCCTAATGTTTAATGTAATAACAATATGTGATTTTTCAGCTGTTACTGCTGCATATGATGGTACATTTCAAGTCATGATTATGTGTTTTCTATTATTTCTTCTCATTTTAATAACTATTTTACCGGTATAATTTCATTGACTTAAAATTAGGTCATATCACAAAAAACAAATCTCTTACAAATCTCAATTAATATGTAGATCCAGAAATGTTTTGAAGGCTACCAAAAACAAGATCACAATGAGGTCCATCTGTTGCTTAATGTTCCTCAACAGATAGAATTTGGGTCTTTTTAAAGGATTTCTTTACATTGCATGGTAGAGCATATTTCTGACATATTATAATATGAACTGCAGTTTCTAGAATGAAAATATCTACCTATACAATGCTATCACTGTTTTCAGTACTTTGATGCACATTTGGATGCAGATGCACTTTTTTATCTTTTAAAAAAGGTTTTGGTATGTTTTCTAGAAAACATTTTGTTTTCATTGATAAGTGGCAATTGAGCCATTTTCCCAGATTGAATACAACTGGGACAATCACCAGCATCATCTGTTACAAGTAACAAGCAAATGTGATATCATCATGATTACAGTGTTGGTTTTGGGAAAAATAAGTTGGATGAGCAATCAGACGTTGACTTCCTCTATTAATCATAAAAAGGATATTTCCTGAATCACTGACTCAAGGGGCTAGTTGCTCAACATGGCCAGTCCCCAGCTTATATAGCCGCTGCCTCCAGCACAGACAAGTTACATTCAACAAGGAAACATGGAGACTTTCAACCTGAGCATTCTACTCAGCCTGGCAGTTGCAGTTTACTGCATGCCAATATCACAGGTTACTGAGCAAGATGAGAATTTTGCAGAGGTGCGTATACTTGCTTTGCTTTTTCATGCATGTACTTTATTTTGCATCAAAGTTGTGCACATGCAAATGTTCAAGTTCTCTGAATTCCTAATGTTACGCTGTTAAAGACACAAATAAGTTTAGTTTCTTAATCTCTGTTGTTAACAAACAGATCCCTTCTTCCAAGGCCAACTGATACATACATACGTATCTAACTCTTGTTTTCTCTTACAGAGCTACCTGAAGAAATTCTTCAACCTAACAGAGGAGAGCGGTCCGACTGTCCGACGGGGGATCGGCCCAATGAGCAAGAAAGTGAGTGAGATGCAGAGATTCTTCAGACTCCAGATCACCGGGACGCTGGATGCTGACACCATGGCTATGATGAAGAAACCTCGCTGTGGCGTTCCAGACACCAAGGTTTCCCTATACGCCATAACTGGAGACAACCTGAAGTGGCAGAAAAACAGCCTTACCTACAGGTGAGTGATCTGAAGAGTGTATTAGAGAGACTAACCACAGGCAGAGTATGTGATTATCTAAGTATACTCTGTGTTTTTCTGTCCTACAGGATTGAGAACTACACACCTGACATGTCTGTGTCAGAGGTGGATGACTCCATAGAGAAAGCGCTGCAGGTCTGGGCCAAAGTCACTCCTCTGAGGTTCACAAGGATCTACAGTGGCACTGCTGACATCATGATCTCCTTTGGCACCAGAGGTGATTACAAAAGAAACAGAGCAGTTTGCCAGTTATAAACTCTCACTCAGTTCATTGTGATGTCCCATTAAACATCTAAGCCTTAAATGTATGTTTTCTGAGTCTTGAATCACATTGGACAGCTGATCAATCGTAGCAGGAGGATGCTTTTTAAAAACCCAGCACTCATTTGCTTTTTACATTAATTCAACTACTTCTTTGTATCTGTATTAGATTTAGAAAACCTGACATGAATATGCTCTTGCTCAACAGAACATGGAGATTATTACCCCTTTGATGGCCCTGATGGCACTCTTGCTCATGCCTTCGCCCCATCTCCTGGCATTGGAGGAGATGCTCATTTTGATGATGATGAGACCTTCACCTACCGCTCAAATGCAGGTAAGTCTGTTATTTAGGGAATAGTGTCTTGTTGTATTGGCTTACTTCTCCCTCAGTGTATGTGACCTGATTGGACCTGATTTCCCTGAGGGGAGCTGTAACTTACCAGTAAGTCTGTCTTTTCTTTTGTAGGCTACATCCTCTTCATGGTAGCTGCCCATGAATTTGGCCACTCTCTGGGCTTGTCTCACTCTACTGATCCTGGTGCCCTCATGTACCCTGTGTACTCATCCAGAGACCCTGACACCTTTGTTCTGCCCCGGGATGATGTCAACGGCATCCAGTCTCTCTATGGTTAGTGCTAACTAACTAACTAAATCACTGTCTGTTTGCACAAACAGCACTTGGTCAAAATATCTGACGAATAACTTCTGCACAAACTTCAGTGAGTCCACATGACTACAATGACATGTGACATTGGTTTCATTTAACCTACAGGTGAAAACACTTTGAACCCTGGTCCTGGACCCACATCTCCCACCACGCCTGATGCCTGTGATTCAAACATGGTCTTGGATGCAGTTGCCAGCCTCAGAGGAGAGATATTCTTCTTCAAGGACAGGTATTGCAGACACTGAATGTTCAAATAACTAAATGTCCAATCCAAAAAGTTTGTTTTTTTTCTTCTTTTTTTTTCTTTACACTAGAGCAGGCCTCTGAACTGATTTTTGTGTTGTGTCTTTTCTCAGCTTCTTCTGGCGTAGCTACCCCCAGAGCAATACACCTCAACAAAGTTTCATCACAAACTTCTGGCCTAAAGCCCCGGTCAATATCGATGCTGCTTATGAGAGCCGAGAGTCAGACAGGATCTTACTCTTTAAGGGTACGTGATCTCTGTGTCCACCCAAAGCTCCTAAAGTCATACTATTTTCAAGTCTAGATTATTTGCCTGTACGCATAGTCACTAAAATACTTTTTCTTCTAAATCCTTCATTTCTTCATTTTTGCAGGTCGTCAAGTGTGGGCTTTCAGTGGCTACGATCTGGTGTCTGGCTATCCTAAGTCAATTTCCAGTTTTGGTCTGCCTGAAACCGTAGAGAAAGTCGATGCTGCTCTCTATGACGTGGACAGTGGCAAGACTCTGTTCTTTGTAGGCAGCAATTACTACAGGTGTGTTTAAATCACGTGAACCACAATTAATTTAGGTGACTGATTTCAGTATGATGTGGATGTGGATTTTTAAATGGTGAATTATCTAATTATTATCTAATTACTGTCTGTTCTTCTTTAGTTATGATGAGGTCAATAAGGCCATGGACCAGGGATTCCCCAAACAGGTGTATGAGACCTTCTCTGGACTGACCGGCCAGGTGACTGCAGCTTTCCAGTTGAGAGGTGAGTAACATTCAAGTTTCTTCATAGTTTTCCGAGTCAAGACTACTTCCATGACAAAATGTTTACAGTTCTGAGTCCTTCCAGCCTTAACCCAACATGGGGATTAACATCTAACATCTGTGTCCTGCAGGCTTTACTTACATCTACAGTGGACCCAACATGTTCGAGTATCACCTGGGGAGCGGGAGGTTGTTCCGTGTGCTGAGGAACAGCTACTTCTTACGCTGCACCAAAGTCTAGACCAGTTCATTGCCCAGGCAGTTTATGTAGCTCCTCTGAATGACAATGAAGGCACCAAAGTTCCATAATATATAATTTCATAGTTTATGATATAGGATTGTACACATTCATGGGGGTATACACTGGATTTTTGCCTTTCCTGAAAACAGCACCTTATATGTTTTTTTTCTTTCTTAGAATAGCATTTTGTGAGGTCAGCCATTGCTACTTTAAGTTAATTTAACTCTACATTATTTTATTTCATCATCACTGTTTAAGTATTGTTGTTGCTAATTTTGTTGCTGCTTTAATTTTGTGTTTAGTGAAGTTGAACCATGGAACTTAACTTAATTGTAACATATGAATGTATGCAAATTGTTTACAAAAATGTGACACAGTCAAGGGAAATTGTTACATGAATTAGCAAATAAAAGGTTGTTCAAGTGCATTTTGATTATTATTTGTTATACTCTTTGCTGGGATGTTGCTTTATTGCTGACATAACTGGTCAGTCAAATGTTAGCTATTTAAAATTGAATAGAGTAGTTTTTCATCAACAGAAATATGAAATTGGTATACAGTATACAGATGTCAAGAACCACTGCACCTTAATATCTAACTGTACTGAAGCATATTATTTCCTGTGGTGTTAGCATGCTATAAGTTGTTAATTATAGTTTCACACATAGTACGGCTGCAGCTGGTGATAAGTTCTTGCAGTTATTTAGTCATAAACCAAAGTACTGACCTGATTATGTCGCTCTCAAAAATGTCCATGTATCACAAAAGTTATTACAATTCATCATGAGGGGAACTGTAATATCTTCGACATCATGAACATCCAGAGACTTGACTTTAACTCCAAGTGATCGACTTTATTGAAGGCCCTTCAGTTAACATAACTTGCACCTAGCGCTAAACCCGAGATCGACCGTGCAACGACTAAAGTATCACTTCGCATACCTCTCCACATCATTACTTTAGTATTAGTGCACAGCACTATATACTACAGGAACATGAATGTCCGAACCAAATTCCATCTAAGTGCTGACCAAATTTAAAAATGTCTACCTCAGTTGTGTTTGTGTCCACCGGATGAATGTCAACCAATGTACCAATGTACACTCTCTTTTTAACTGTTTTTGGCTTAAGACGATTACTGTATCCAACCAAATTCTGAGCTAATTATAATAAAATTATATTATAATAATATATAGTAACATTATGTGTATGGATGCCAGGGAGATGTAAGATTTATCATCATGGATTCTTGAGAATAAAATATTTTTTTACCCTCAGGACATATTTACAGAGATGTCTGAAGAATGTTAAAGAAGACTGCACACAAGGCTTCTTTTGGGCCCAAATGTAAAGACCCAAATGTATACAAGATTTTATAGAAATACATATAAATATTGATATAAATCAGTGGTATTATGTCGCTTTTAGAGAAGCAGAGTCAAACAACCAACTACAAAGTCAAAGCCAAAGCCCGCCAACCTCACTTATGTGTGAAGTTTAGTTCTTTAACTGGCTGGCACCCCCAGGACTCCTCGTAACAGTAACATCACTCAGGTAATAGAACCTCAGCTGGCCACAGCTCCTTGCTTATTCTGAGTGTAGATGTTGCCCACATCTACCACACACATGCCTGTGCCCCTGACTACAGGTGCTGAAAGAAAGGATCATCAAATGTTTGATTCAACTATAGACACAAGTCTCTAACTTGCTGGTTGAGTAAAAATACTATTTGTATTCATCAAATATGTTCTGAATCCAAAGGAAACAGATGCACTGCATCAGCTGATCTTTCTGATACCTGCAGCAGGACAAAAGTTTTGTCAAGGAGGTAACGGCTTAGATGTTTCCCTCTTTAACTCTCAGTTTAGTTACTGCCCCTTATCGAAAATAAAGGTATAAATGCCCCCAAAAATATAACTTAAAAATAAATAAATAAACAAATCAGTGATTCAGTAATGCTGATTTATCTACAGAGTTGTCCTCCTGTCTATGATAAATGGACCAGGGGATTAAAACTGGTTAACGAATAAAGCAGTTTCACTTCTGAAGCTCTTCGGCAGACGGGAGTATCTGGAAACTGAGACTGCTTGTCTTTAGCAACTTATGACCCAGGCAATCGGCAGGTTTTTTCCAGAAGTCGAATTATCCGCAGACGTGCCTTCCTCTCCATATCAAACAGATCAGGGAATTAAAAAACCCCTGACCCATGGGTATAGGGGATATGATGTCATTGAAAGGCGACCAAATGACATGTACCGTTACCATGATTAAAACATGGATTTCTTTAGATTTGAGAATTGATGGAAACATTTGGGATAATGTAAGTACACAACTCCAAAAATATATAAGATAGGTGTTGTCATTTTCAGACATTTTAATGTGGAAAAGTTACATGTTATAATTTTTAAGCAGTCATTGTTTGTGATTATTTTGAATATTTTTTGTGATAACAGCTCAGTTGTGATGGTCAGTGCTCTGATTCCATCACTTCACTGTTCACCCCTTCACCCCCGGAACATAATAATGGATACAACACCAGACGGAAGTCTTCTACATTAAAGTTTATTGAATAGATGGGTATAACTGAAAAGAAAACAGATACCTTTCACCACAAAGGTGCTGCTGCAGCAGGAGGGAGAGAGCGAGAGCTGAAACAAAGGAATGGCCTACTCAGACAACTAGTCAGCACAGGTGTGTGTCAATCAGGCGATCAACCTGGAGGGATCGGCAACAGGATCAACAGGAAACACTGAAATAAAACAGAATTCAACCCCATGTTTAATGACAACAGACATGAATTTAATATTTATTTTATTATTTTTTATTTATTTTATATTTAATATTTAATTAAATTAATAATTATTCAAAAGTTACTTAATAGTACAGCAAAATAATTTTTTCTTGTTTGTTTTTTATCTCGCTCATGAAGGAATGCCAGTTTTTCTTCTACTAAAATACACTACTGGGGAAGTACAGATAGCAAATAATGCAATAATCAGAACAAGTACAAGTGTCTTCTATAATATAAATCCCCAACAACCTGCAAATGTGTATACAATTGGCTTGTAAAACACGAAAAATCTTTGCAAGATACAATATGAAGATGCTCTGCTTCTGAAGTGCTTCCATTAGATACTGGAACCATGACGGCTGCATCCAATGAAGTGGCCGTCCAAAAATATGGCAGCACAGTGATGTTTCTTGTTCAGAGAATGTACATGTATATCATTTAATAAAAAGTCAGTCGCTGTAATAGCACTAAACCATCACCTAAAACTGCTGTGTCTGGAGAACACAATTATCTTTGCAAGGTGGGAGAGATCTTCATATACTTTAACCAATGGAGCTACTTTTATGCAAAATGATGACCAGAGTTGATTTTCATAGAAAGGATCTCAACAGTGATGAATGTTGGAGTGATGTTGGAGATTCCTCACCTGTCCACTGTCTGTCTGTTCCTCCATTATTTATATTCCTTTAGTCCGGAAGTGTTCACACTTAAAAAATCAACAGGGTTTCTCATAAACGTATTACAAGTTATGAATAATGTCGTCCAAAGTCTTTGCAGACTGTCCAGCGTCTTGATTCGCAGTGCTCTTCATATTTCTCCCTCCTTCCGGCTGCCTGACAGTGGGTACGCTTGTTTTCTGCACAAGTCCAGCTTGTGAAGGTGGATCAGGTCTGTAATCTTCTGGTTCAGAATGGGACTCTTGCTCAAAACTATAAATAGTTTTCCTAAGCTGTCACAACTGTTTGTTTGCACAAGACATGCTTAACGTCTCTATCGTTGCCATGGTAGTTACCAGCAAACTTCAGCTTCAGAGGGGACAGAGCGTTTCAGACAGAGGGTGAATGGAGAACAGTAAAAGATGTACAGAAGAAGAAAAATTAAATATTTTCAGAACATTAAAGCATGTAAATCTATTTAAGTAGACACCAAGAATTAAATAATTAACACTGAAAATGGCCACAATAGGTCCCCTTTAAATATTTCAGAACTGGTGATGGCCCTGAGTAGAAAAAGCTGGAGAGCAGGAAAGGCTCCTCCTGCTGCCACAGGGGTGTAAGCTGTTGTGGTGATATACATATGAGTATCCCTAGAAAAATGCATTTACTTTTAACCTATCACAAATGTGTCCAACTGTCATTAAATGGTAATTAAAAGCTTCAGCTACATCAGCTTTTGTTTGAAGTGGACCGATTGTACGGTAGTACTGATTTAACACGTGTGTTAAATACCAGGTTTCCACCTTACCAATTATTCTCAATACTAGTAGATCTACTGTGTAAACCACACTTTGTCTCTGTGAGTCTTTAGTGGAACATACTGTAGCTATCAACAGTGAGGGTAAACATGAGTTAATTCAGGAAACAGAACAGAAATCTCTCTTACCCACCAGTAAAGTTAAGCCAATAATAAATTGTCTATTCTAATGAAGTTTATTTACTTAGTGGTGCATTAACTATAACCATAATGCCACAGTTCTTTAATGCTCTGAATGATTCTCATATTGCTATGCATTAGCTCTATAACTATGTTGCTGTGTATACAGTAAGAGACCAGACCAGGCCAGGCTACTCCCTTCTTCGGTTTTGATATACTAACACCATGTACATTTCCTGTTTGAGTTAAGCTACTCTGTTTTCTTTGTGTAATGAGAAGCAGAAGATGATGGAGAGATCACCGACACACTCATAAGAACTGTTCACACCTGGTATTAACATGCGTCTCCATTGATCCGATCACAAGTGGTCAGCTCTAAGTCAGTTCATACCTGGCTTTAAAATGTGCTTCCATGTCTCCTTGTTTTTAAGTCAATGGATACACGTGTCTGTTGTCAATATGCTTGTGTTTGTGTATGTGTGTGTGTGTGTGTGTGTGTGTGTGTGTGTGTGTGTTTGTGTGTGTGTGTGTGTGTGTGTGTGTGTGTGTGTGTGTGTGTGTGTGTGTGAGTGAGAAAGAGTGAGTGACAGATAGAGAGAGAGAAAGTGTGAATAGGGCGGGGGGGGTTGAGTGAATGAATTAATGCGCTGCGCACAGGTCTTACAGTGAAATTAAGTTTATAAATATACAGTATATTCCTCGCTGGCACTAAAAAGAAGAAGAATATCAAAATTAAATATGGTGAGTTTCTCACCTGTGAAGCAAGAGCACAGAACCCCCCCCCCCCCCCCCCCCCCCAGGGGGGGCTGCCAGATACTACAATATCAGACACCTTTAAAGTGGACTACACATTCCTTAACCTTGAAGTTAGTTGGACGTCTTGTCTGCCAGCCTTACTCCCATCATTGGCTCACATCCTCAAGTCTTTTCGGCCATGTCATGTGACATAAAGTGTGACAAAACTGTATATTCAGCAATAACCACAATGTACCTAATAGGCTTACTGATGAATAATGTAGGGAAGTGGTTGAAAGCGTTACCTC